TTCGGATATGCAGTTGACTCGCTCATCACCTTGATCCAGTCCATTATTTCAACCCAGGCCAGGTTGGAGTTCAACCCATCATATGCCACCGGCCTCACCATCGCGGTTTATGTCGGTATGTTGGTCGGTGCAATTTTCTGGGGCTTTTCGGCAGACATTATCGGCCGACGATTTGCCTTCAACTTTTCCCTGCTCATTTCATCGATATTCACTATCGTTGCGGGGGCTTCCCCTTCCTGGGTCATCTTGGGTTTGTTTGTCTGCTTGAGTGCTTTTGGTGCCGGTGGAAACCTAGTTCTCGATACTACGGTCTTTCTCGAATACCTTCCCGGCAAGGAACAGTGGTTGTTGACACTGATGGCGGCGTGGTGGGGTGAGCTTACACTCCCCGGTACATCTTCCGTCGAAAGTCTGAACTGACTTGTCTAGGTCTGGGTCAGCTTATCGCAGGTTTGTTTGCTTGGGCCTTTCTTCCCAACTTCTCCTGTAGCGATGCAGCCACATGCACCCGTGAAAATAACCAAGGATGGCGTTATGTGTGGTACGCATCCGGCGCTTTGGTGTTCGTTCTCTCGATCCTCCGAGTAACCATCATCCGCCTTGAAGAGACTCCCAAGTTCCTCATTTCCGAGGGCAAAGACGAGCAAGCAGTACATGTTCTCCGCAGCATCGCCGATCGACACAACCGCCCATGCAGCCTCACCATCGAGAAGCTTCAGGCATGCGGACAAATTTCTCACCGCGGGGCTCCAGGGTCAGGCTGGCTTACGCAGCTCATCTCCCCGAGCGAAGTGTTCTTCCATCTTCGTGGACTCTTCGAAACCCGTAAAATGGGCTTGTCGACGACCCTAGTCTGGATCTCATGGCTCCTCATTGGCCTCGCCTATCCGCTTTACAATGTGTTCCTCCCCACCTACCTTGCATCGCGCGGCGCATCCTTTGGACAGACCAGCCCGTATATCACCTGGAGAAACTACGCCATCAACAACACCTGTAGTATATTCGGTCCTGTGTTAGCGGGATTCATGTGTCGTTCACCCTGGTTTTGGGGCCGTCGGGGAACCATGATCATCGGAGCTTTGGTCACAATGGTTTTCTTCTTCTGTTATACGCAAGTGCGCACTCAGAGTCAGAATGTGGGATTCACATGCGCTATTTCCTTCTGCTTGAATATTTACTATGGTACCCTCTATGCTTACACACCCGAGGTATGTGCTTGCTCACTTTCATTAACTCTGTCATCCCGTATCTCACTCCTTGATAGGTGTTCCCCTCCGCCCACCGGGGCACAGGAAATGGTGTTGCTATTGCGCTCAATCGGATCATGGGAATTGTCAGTGCTGTTGTCAGCCAGGCCGCGAATGTAGGGATTTATTCTTTACTCTCTCGAAAAAAATGCTTACATTGTTAACAGTCCAGTACGCCTGTGCCGATATACATATGCGCAGCCCTTTACATTGTGATGGCAATTATTGCTGGAGCTTTGCCATTCGAACCGTATGGCCGACGAAGCAGCTGAAGGGGGAAGTGTGTTGATGAGGACACGCAACGGTCGATTTCTAAGTATCTTACGGGCTGCTTTGGGGGCCTAACATTTTCGACACGGATGAGCTTATTGATGTCTAAAAAAATATTTCACATTATTCACCCTCAGCTGCTACATATAATTAATACACAATCTGCTCCCCAGATAGATAAAGCGTTAATACTAATTGAACTATTGAGCAAATTTGGATCTAATATTTAACATATTCTTTTCTAAATATATCGCAAGATATCTTGAACAACAGGTTCCATTGACTTCTCGTTTCTTATATTGCGCCTCGACTAACTGCTGGGACCTCTTGTCCACACTGAACATCATCCATCCTCTTATTTTTCCAGGGTTGACATTGGTGATTAACCGTTCTCCGTATAGTCAGTGGCGACATCTGCTCATCTCTCCATAGCCTTCGCCGCCATTTCCCTCCCGCCATTTTCCCACCGATCCCATCCCAGAGTAAGGCTCAGTGTATCTCTCCACAAATCCTCGGGATCACCACCAGGCGGTGCCTCCCTACCATTTCCGACTTTCCCATATATCTTCCCTTTCACAAACCGCATATGCCAAGGTATGATCCCGACCTTCTCAAATCCCATCCTCTGCGCGAGTCGAGAACTAGCAAGATTCATCGTGCTAGCCGACCAATGTATTCTGCGTAATCCAAGGCCTCCTTGCTCTGGAGACTTAAACGCAAGCTGTAGAGCGAGTCCAACGGCATTAGTTGCCACGTGGGTTCGCTGATACGGAGGCAGGATGACAATGAATCCAATCTCTGTGCATAGATTCGTTGGTGATGTGCGGATAAAGCTCACAGTGCCGGCTAGTTCACCTTCCGGGTCTTCCGGGGATGGTGGCTTTGTCTTGTTTATGATTGCAAAAGCGAATGACTCTGGGTTGGCGAAGGACAGGATATGGGTCGTGGAATCACTGTAGAATCGGGATTTGAGTTCCGTTGCTGAAGCCGGTGGTAGTATGGGTAAGTGTGTGTATATCTCAGGATGGGCTGATGATATGTGAAAGAAGGTTTCGCAGTGTTGTTCTGGGTTGAGGGGGATAAGCTTGACACGCTCGTTTGAAGCCTCTCCCACGTGGAACGGAAAGACGGATAATGAAGCCATTTCGATACTGAAATGTTGGGATTGGAAAGTAAGGGTAGGTTGATAACTTGGTAGATTAGTGAGGATGATTTTCTACCCAGTTCTCCGTGGTAGGTAAAGTCCCATAACCCACTTGGTCTGAAGACATTCTGTCTTACGGAAGGCGTGAGTCACCCCCGCTTAGTAGAGGAACACCAACCTTTTCTATCGTATTCTTTTCACATGCATGGATGGTAAGCAGCCTTATGAAACCAGAATCTATTCATACGATATCCCTATAAAATAGTCGGCACCTTACGTTGCCTCTGTCCTCGACGACGTAGGTCTCCATAAAATTCATCTACCAATGATCTGTAATTATTCGCTATGCATGAAGCCATATAAAATGTGCAACACCTGCATATTTGCATGTGCGCTCGCTTTACAGAGCCTCTTTTACTCCCTGTTAATACGTCCTATGTATTCCTTCCTTTCTCTTTCCTGTCTATGTCCTTCTCTGACTACATACATTTGAGTACAATTTCCTATTAATCAGAACCAACCGTACTACTCCCCGACTTACAGGGGCCCGCCAAAAATGGCATCCTATCTTATCTTCTTCGAGTCTATACCTCACCTAACGTCTTCTCACATGCGGAATTCTTGCCCGACCAACAAGGCAGCCCTCTAGACCCCTTAAGCAAGCTACCTGCTGCTGTCCCCACCATTCTGAATACTCACATGAGAGCCAAAATGGGCCCAGGTCACCAATACAGCAACATGATTAGTTAGACCAGTTCAATGCTTGTTGCGCTCCAGCATGGTCTGATGAAACTTCCCGGAAACCTGCAAAGCCCCGCTGCATCAAATATTTTTCTCCTCGTTATTGAGACAGGCAAGTTCCCCAATGGCACATTCATTAAGGACTCAGAGCTCGTGGGTGAAATCAGCGACATATATCAGAACTAGAAGGTAAACCTCTTGGCGACTTCTTGATCATGCGCAGGTCCGACATGAAGACCCACTTTGGTGAGTATCTCTCACTGGGAGAATTGAACATTGAGGGGAAATGCATACAGATCTATCTCATTCAAAGAACTCATTTTAAATGGTTTGTTTGATCTGCACATCAGCTTGTGGAAGGAGTGTCATCCGAACGATTGGATGAAGCGAGTCTCTGAGCTGCGTCGTCCATTTAGGTTATTACATGAACCGCCATGGGCAAAGACCTCCAAGATATTCACTGCGATCAGAATCGGTTGCCATTTTCGACAGGATCAATGGGCTATCCCGGTGGCCATGATGCTTCTTGTTTTGAAATCACGCAAGAGAAGTAATAGTGACATCATGCAGGCATTTAGCAAATGGTTTTCAGATTCCGATGTCCTTCTTTTACCTGGCTATCAATTCAATCTCAATGCAGCTAATATCGACCAGCTGCCAGAGGTCAAACAATTCACAAACTTGCTTTACGATCTTGTCCCTCCTTTTTATCAATCACGATGAATATCAAACCTGAGAGGTTGTCGATTGGTTGAGGTTACTTACCCTTGCCAGGTCTCATATAAATATCAATATCAACCGACAATCACATTTGAACACAGCATTGTACGGGTTTCTAAGATGTTTCGTGACTAGGCTATCAAACGTGTATATGAAGAAAGGAATTTGAAAATGTTGGGGCCTATGAAGCCTGCGTGTGATAAATCCTATTTCAGATGCGTGCGCCAATAAAAATAAGTGTGCCCTACTGTAGCACCTCTCAAAAAAGGAAATGGAGAAATGAAAGCGATGGTGAGGTTAGGGTGATTCCCGTTGATATCTTTTGTTCATTGTATGCCTCGACCTATGTAAAGACATCCACGTGTCTTTCACTTTTGTAATTACATATCAAATCAAATATACAGATGTTCGTAGAAAAGCCTTGGCAGCCAGCTAGCCTTGTAATGCTTCTATGACTGTGGCGGTCAAAGAGCTCTATCAACCAAGAAAGTTTTAGACTGACGACATTCTGATGAATTGAAAATTTCATGTACATATTCAAGGCGGTCCTTTTATCAAACCAGATCCAATATAGGACACAACGGATCAGTAAGTTATTCAAATTGCCCAGATGGCTAACTAAAGTGCGGGCGTGGATAGTACATGCCAGGTAAAAGGTGGCTGGCTACAAAAGGTCAATGCGCAGACACTTTCCCCACCATTTCTTTGAGATCTTCAATAATGTATACCATTTGTGTTAGCCAGCATCTGCTCGATTGCAACAAAAGATTTCAGTCACACAGGAGTCCAAATGCGAGGAGCTACTCCCTGTTTATTGGCCAGATATGGTCACGTTTCCAATAGCTGGATCTTCGTGCAGAATACCGCAAGTAGATCTCATGACTTCCTTTATTTTTAGCCCCGAAAAAGATTGTTCCACTCTGACAGCATTTGGGCTGGATTCTGCCATTGTTCCTCCTTCGTTCTCAAATTCTACACGGCAGGCAAAGGACAGAGCAGCAAGCTCTATGGATAACAAAAAGGGACCGTTCGAAGTGCTAGTGACAGGAGTAAGTAATATTCAAAACAAATTTACGTCAAATCTCTAACATATAACCTATTTAATCTGCAGGCAGCGGGGTTTTTGGGATCGAACCTGGTCGATTTCCTCCTTGGGAATGGCCATACTGTGATTGGGCTTGACAATTTCCAGAGTGGCTTCTCGAAAAATTTGTGCCATTTAGAAAACCATTCTCAGTTTCAATTTCTCAAGTGAAATCTACCTGTGCCCTAGTGAAAGCCAGCTTTACAAGTTACTGACTAGGAACAAGGCACAATATCCAAGATCCTCTTCCAGAGTTGGAAGGAATCGACCAGATCTACAATCTAGCTTGCCCAGCAAGCCCGGTTCATTATCAAAAGGACCCGGTGTCGACCTTAAATACTTGTTTCCTCGGTACTCGAAATCTGTTAGAGCTTGCGAGATCCAGAAATATACGTATTTTGCATACCAGCACCTCAGGTTAGCGATGCATAAACCCAGCCTCTCTGTATCCCTTGATATGTGCCTTACTAAAGATATACCCATAAAAAATAGAAGTCTATGGCGACCCCTCCATTCACCCCCAGCCAAAGCACTACTGGGGTAACGTGAACCTATTCGGCCCACGAGCCTGCTATGATGAAGGAAAACGCGTTGCCGAAGCCCTCTTTTACGCCTACCGAGAGCAACACGGCGTCGACATTCGAATTGCACGAATCTTCAACACATACGGACCACGAATGGGCGCAAGCGACGGTCGCGTCGTGTCCAACTTCATCGCATCTGCATTGTCCGGGGATGATCTAAAGATTACCGGTGACGGCAAGGCGACTCGCTCGTTCCAATATGTCACCGACTGTATGCAGGGGTTGTATGCGCTCATGAATAGCGACTATAGTAAAGGCCCGGTGAATATCGGTAATGATCGGGAATTTACTATCCAGCAGCTAGCTGAACTTGTGATCGGGCTTGTTTCGCAGATGACTGGCCGGTGTAAGGCCTCTATTGCATATCTGCCACCGTTGGTAGATGACCCTACAGTGCGCAGGCCGGATATTACGTTGGCAAGAGAAGTTCTATGCTGGGGACCCGTTATCCGGCTAGAAGAGGGATTGCGGAGAACGATCGAATGGCATATCAATGAGAGGCGGTCTGACTGACAAGGGAGCTATTGATTGGTAGCTGCATCATAGTCCACGGGTATAGCTGCCAGAATTATCCGTTGCCTTCTCCATCCGATCGCTTAATAAAGTCGATTTGCGCTGTGGTCGGTCCTCGGACTCGAATGTCGTTCCGGCACCCCTCTGTATCTCTTATTTCTAATGAATTCGTGTAACCGGCACGAAAACAACTGAAATAAAAGCAAAGATCCCCAGGGTCTCTTTCTTCTTATCAATAAGCTCTATCTCATAAATTGTTCAACCTATCAGATCTACAACGCGGTCAACGAACGTGGGTCCGACAAATATTTCCTCTTTGGGGATAGTTTATCGTGGCCAAGTATGAACTTCAAGCTGTACGACAAGGCGAGACTTGCCAATCACGGCGTTATACAAAGGCCATTTTTCAAGTATCAGTTTACTACTTCTGTATTTTAATTCTTGCTCAAAGGCGGGGTGGATCTATATATGACTCCCATCCCCCACCACAATCCAGTCTCAGTTCAAATCAAGCATCTGCAGTAAGCATCACTTGGTTCATCATTTTTTTCTTTTTCCACACCAACACTTCGGCGCAATCCATACAATGGGTGACTATACACCAGAATTGGCAACAGCTTCAGTGCCTACCCCATCTGAGAAGCTGGTCGACTCCACTGGCATCAAACCATCCAGCGGAGTTCTTTACCACCAACTGCGAAATGAGCCCTTGAACATTGTTGGCGGTCGAGGCAGCTACCTGATAACTGAGGATGGTCTGGAAATTATCGATGCGACATGCGGTGCAGCTGTATCCTGTCTGGGTCACAGCGACGAGCGTGTCCACGAAGCCATCTTGGACCAGTTGAAGAAAATTCCCTACTGTTATTCTATGTTCTTCACCAACAGTGCTGCGGAGAGTTTGGCAAAGCTTCTGGTAGACTCAACCGGAGGCAAGATGTCTCGTGCCTACATCGTGAGCTCGGGTAAGAAACATGTCTATGCCGAATCACAATTGGTTTACTAAAATCACAATAGGTACCGAAGCGGTCGAAGCTGCTGTGAAGATGGCTATTCAATACTACACAGAGTTGCCCGTTCCTGAGCCCCAGCGGGTGAATATCATTTCTCGAAAGTCATCCTACCACGGAAATACCCTCGGGTCACTTGCTGTTGGACACCACGCTTCTCGACGGAGGATCTACGAAAGTCTTCTTTCGAAGAATATTCACCACGTGCCCCAATGCTATCCCTACCGCAGGATGGATACCAATGAAAGCACCGAAGACTACGTTGCAAGACTGGCCCAAGAACTGGAGGACGAATTCCAAAGACTTGGCCCCAGCACTGTCTGTGCATTCGTGGCCGAGACAATGCCTGGTGCCGTGAGTAAAACGGAGTCCCGTCATGCTAAACCTGCTAATTATTTCCATAGACACTTGGCTGTGTCCCCCCATTGCCTGGCTACCTCAAGGCACTGAAAGCCGTCTGCGAGCGACATGGAGCGCTCTTCATCCTAGATGAAGTCATGTCCGGCATGGGCCGCACGGGAACCCTCCATGCTTGGGAGCAAGAAGATGTCGTCCCTGATCTCCAAACAATTGCCAAGGGACTCGGTGCCGGCTATGCTCCGATCGCAGGGTTGCTCATCAACAAGCACGTCGTCGACACTCTGAACAAGGGCACCGGCGCTTTTGTCCACAGCCAGACATACCAGGGACACCCAGTCGCCTGTGCGGCTGCATATAGGGTGCAGCAGATCATACAAGAGGACAACCTGCTACCGAATGTGCGGGCGATGGGAGAATACCTGGGTCAGCGTCTTCACGAGCGTTTGGATAGTCACCCCCATGTTGGTGATATTCGAGGCAGGGGATTATTCTGGGCTGTGAGTTTTCTTCTTCCTTTACTACTTTGTCGTCACTAACATGACTATAGATGGAATTTGTTCAGGATAAAGAGACGAAAGAGCCATATCCGCCTTCCAAGGCGCTTTCTCGGACCCTGCATGCGACAGGACTCAAGCCTGCACATGCGATTTCGTTGATGCCCGGAAATGGTGGTATCGATGGTGTCAATGGGGATCATATTATCCTGGCGCCGCCTTACAATACTAACCGAGAGGAGATTGATTTGATAGTCGATCGAACCGTTCGGGTCATTCAGGAGGTTCTGGGATAAAGGTTTCTTTGTGAATCAGTCTCTGTCGTATCTTCCTACAATTAGCTTCGTTAAATTGCCACTCAATTTTTAATCAATCACAATGAATGACTCCTTGCGCATGTAATGGTAACTCAATAGCGCTGTATATATATGTAGGTGGGAGGTTGTCTTCCCAGAAATTTCAAAAGAACTCACTATAGCCACTCCGGTTCACCTTGTTCTCACTTTTCGTGCATTGCAATACATGTAATCTTAGCATATCTTATAAATTTAATCTGGTCTAGTGTCATTGCAATATATATGGATCGTCCCGAGTGTTGATAGCAATCTAATTGGTCAATCGTCAGGTGACCGTCGTATATGTAGATAAGGCTGCGGGGAAACAAGACTCATATAACCCATGTCCCTACTATATTAATTATTTGTGGATCTCTCACTAGCTACTCCGTAGAGGTGGATCATTTGTTTGATCGACGAGATGCCTCGAAGCGACAAGTTTTCACGGTCACGGACTGGTATGACGACTCATTCCAAGCCGAAGTGTAGGTGCTAATATATATATGGAAAAAGGATGTCTACAATGTCGAAAAAAGCACAATAAATGTGACGAACAACAGCCAATTTGCTCATTTTGTGCTTCACGGGATTTGGACTGTCAATATTCATCGGGTATCAAATGGGTTCGACCGAAAGAGCCAATTCCGACAAGACATAAGCCTCGCGGCAAAGACACCCGTCGAGCAATCGAACAAAACATACTAGGTCGACCTTCGGCACTTTTCGCACGGACATGTTTTGAGTCCGCGGAAGACAAATCTGCCTGGGAGTATTGTACGTCACTTCACGCCATATAATTGGAACCGGAATGCCTAATCAAGAATACTTGCACAGACATAAGCCTCGTTTCATCCAATGTCCCCGCTGTAGATGGCCCGGACAACCCCTACCGGCAGGTCTCCATCCCAGCCCTATCATCACCAATTCTTCTCGAGACTATTGTCTGTATATCGACAGAACATATGCTCAATTTCGGATTAGCCAGCATTGATCTCGCTGCCAAGCGCCAGCAGAGAATGCTCAGAACGCTCGGACAAAACCTGCTCAGTATCGACGACAAGGCCGCCTGCGGTGCAGGTACAGTCGTATCCAGAAACAAACACGAGCGAGAAGCGCTCCTTACAGCCGTTGTTCTTCAGGGGATCGTCGTCGCACAGTCAGCAGATGGCGTACTGGAGCCCCACGTCAAGTGCGCCTCTTGGCTCATGGAAGCAGTAGGCTACTACGACAAGATACCACAAAATCCCATCGCACGCATGACGGTACAACGCTTCGGCATGGTCGATGTAATGCTAGCCATCTCACGACAGCGAAGGCCATACGCACCGCAGAACTTCATACTCAACCAACCCGACCAGCAGCGCTGGGACACCACCGAGCCCTCCTTCCACAAGATGACAGGATGCCCACAGCCACTGATGTGCTTCCTAGTACGAATAGCGCATCTAGCCTGCGACGTGAGCGATGGGCTCGAAACAAATATAGGCGAAGGCGCCATTCTCAACGAAGCATTCCAACTCGAGACCGAGCTTCGCGCCTGGGGATCCGGATATAATGGAATCCCACCGGCACAATGTGAGCGCACGCCTCTGGATATTCTTACCGAGTGCTTTTACTGGACTGCTCATTTGCTGCTTGCCCGTCGGGTGTTTCGAGACCAGACGTGCTCGCCACGCGTGCAGCATTTAGTGCATGTGTGTTTTGGGCTGATGGATCATCTGTCAACGGGTTGTGGGCCCGATTCGTCGCTGCCTCAGCCGTTTTACATTGCCGCGAGGGAGGCTATATCCCCTGAAGATCGTGTGTGGGTTCGACAGAAGCATGAGTCTATGACAGCTTATTATCGGGAACAACAGCGGAACTCGGCAATGGAGCTGATTGAACAGATCTGGGAAGCTACGGATAAGCTACGGGAGTTGGGTAATGGTTCCGGTTGGCCAACGGGGATTAAATTGTCAATTGTGGATAGTTACGTGCAAGCGCTTGATAGAGGGGCTTGTTTCTTCATCTTCTGACCAAGCTATTTTTTGGGGGCGTTTTTAAGGGGTTCTCTTTTCCCCGCTGGTAATTAGGGATGAACCGGTTCACGGAGAAAGCTTGAAACAATGAATAGTCTTAACTAGGGGTATTTGCCTAGATGGGAATGGCGGGATCTCGCATGCCAACAATTGAAGATGAGGCACTACATAGGGAGTACCGTTGGGCCTTATACTCGAAGGTTATTGCCTGTAGCACGGAGTAGTCGAAGGGGAGGAAGGAAAGGAACAAACGCTAGACTAGGATAGGAATTAGGGAGATAGGCCCCCATTTGGAGATTCATGAATTTGTGTTCACTATGAATTCAATGTGCACAATGTATAGGAAGTTGTACATAGTTATGTAGTTAGTTATACCATATGATCCATAAATGTACTCCGTATGTTGTATGCTCTACGGAGTACTCCGTATACGGAGTACCCCTTAAAGCGGAGTATCAGAAAACCGGATACGACGGATGTACGGAGTACGGAGTAGGGTAGACAAGTCTCAAGAGTTGCACCCTGAATTGAAGACCGGTCGGGTTGGGCCTAGAATGACCTGTCATGTTTCTAGGACCAATCATAATCAATTCTGGGGCGGGTACCTGAATGTTTCTCCTTTGGCGGTCCGCGGAACTGCACGTGTAACTGCATGTTTATTGGCCGAGTCCACTGGGTTAACCCCCTAGAACCATGGTCTCAATGCCGTCCAATAGTCAGTGGCTGCTGATTTTCGAATCAGGGGAAACTGCCAGGGGAAAAACTTCTACTCCGTACGAAGTACTCCCATTCATCCATGTTCACGTATCCCACTCGGTACACGTTAATTCGTCCAAATTGTACTCCGTGAAACGCATCGAGTTGTTAATAGTGTCTCAGATTCCTCGATCTCACCTAGATGCCGTTCGGTATTCAGGCGATCAGGTTCGTGTGGTTTATTTAACGCCCTTTAGTTGAACTAGTACCCCTGAGAAGAGACAGAGAGAGTCACACCGATCTAGTTGGACAAGACATAAACGCCGAGTAAGGGGAGTGGCACTCGTACCCCTCTCCAAAACAAATGTTCTGTGCCCTTATTGCTCCAGCGCTCCGTGATGCTGCTTGGGCTTATGCAGGTCAACGCAGGGGCCAAAACCAGTTTCTTTCCACTCCATATATCGCACACTCCATACACAGGACCTCGATGGAGAAATATTCATGGAATTTTTCGGTTTGAATCCATAGAAATCATTAAAAAGATAAAAACACGTAAGAGAACTAAAAAAAGGACAAACAAATCGAGGCCCTGATCGAAATAAAAAAAACCCGAAAAAAAAAACAATGGGCCCCCCCCACGAGGTGCCAATAGTCCACAAAGCCCCCGGTGCGTTGTCCATCCAAAGTCAACTGGTTCCCTGTGTAGTCAGCATCTCCCATCTCCTGATCCGCTTCCTTCTGCCTTCTGTGTTTCTCATCCCCCCCCATTCTTTTCTTTTTCTTTTGCGTCCGTTTCATTCTTTCACGGCGACATTATATCACTCATTTCTACCCAATTCATTCGTTTCCTCGAGAACGGTTTGCCCCCTCCCGTTCCCGCCCCGTTGATCGACTCAACCTGGGTATTTGAGCATTTGCCGAAACATCTTCATTGATTCTTCATTGATTCTTGTCGATATAGGGAGAAATTTTTCCCCTGCCATTCGTTCCCAGCTGCTTAGGCCAGCCTTTTTATTTATCACCTCGTTTTTGGACGCCTCTGCGACGCGCCCTTTCAACCCAACCACCCAGTCTCTAACGTGGACACCCTCGAAAACCATTCGATCCCTACGTTGGACTTCCGTTCATTTACATCTTCAACTTATCCCTCTCGCGCCTGTGGCTGCTTCGAGAATATCAGCATTTCCAACAATCTGTCTCCGCACCACAATCACACCCATCCCATTATTTGTCGGCCGGATCGTCACATCGTACCTTTTCATTCCGAACAAAAAAACTATATACACAACCTCAAGAAAGGCATATTGAACACCTTGAAACACATTTCCGATTACGTGCGATATATTTTCTACCGTACCACATTCCATTATGTCTTCGTTGACAGAAATGCATTACCCGCCAACCGACGCAATTGCGCCCACGGCATCGTCCTCCTCGCCTCCAGCTTCCACACCCTCTCCATCGACCTCGAGTGCTACCACGGCCCATTCCTCTGCTACGCGCCGACCTCCTCGCAAAAGCACCCTGACTCAACAGCAGAAAAACAACAAACGTCAACGTGCAACTCAGGATCAGCTTGTCCTTCTGGAGATCGAATTCAACAAAAACCCGACACCCACTGCAGCTACCAGAGAGCGCATTGCTTCGGATATTAACATGACGGAGCGGTCTGTTCAAATCTGGTTCCAGAACCGGTACGTTCTACCCGGAATTGGTTTGTATCTGTATCTTTACTGACTCAAGATAGTCGCGCTAAAATCAAGATGCTGGCGAAAAAGAGCATTGAGACTGGTGAGGGATGCGATTCTATCCCAGAATCCATGCGACACTATCTCGCGATGCAGTTTGACCCGAACAAGCCTGGCGCAAGAGACCCCTTTGGACGTACTGGCGCATATGGCCCGCCGAGCATGTACGCAAACGAGACCAACCCTTCTGGCAAAGTTGGTATGTTGATGGCTCCCTCTGATCTAACCACCTGTTTAACTAACTCGTCTTTTTAGTGATCTCTCATTTCACTTGTCGTTCCTTGACTGTCGGCAGCTGGCGGCGCATTGGGCAAAACGCCATGGACTTGGTCGTTTTCTATTCCCCTGATAAGGCATGCATGACGTATTATATCAACAACGATGCTGCTGGCTATAAGATCGAGTATCCGTTCGCTTATATCAAGAACATCACCTTGGAAACCGGTGATCCAAGCCCTGGGCCGAATGGGGAACCACCTCGACCAGGCGGTCTTGTCGTGGAACTGAACCGCCCGCCGCACTTTTACATGGACTCATCTAACTCTGGAGGGTTTTATCAGTGCGGTGATTTCACCGAGGAACAGCAAGCTAGTCAGATCATGGTTCATCACCTGGGAGGCCATCCCAAGGTCTTGAGCGTTCAGCTTGCCAAGCTTGTGTCGTTGGAGTCCTTCCAGAACCGCCTGGCTTATTATAACAACAGCTTTACCATGCCGGCTGTGATGTCTCCGCCATTCATCCAGCGTCCTGCATCTCAGCCTAACCAGTTTGTTGCTCCCACTTACATGAACTTGTATCAGGACAGCAACCACTTGGGTTTCAACATGCCAGCTGCTCGCGGCCACAAACGCCAACGAAGCCGTTCAGTACCTGTTGCAGTTGATATCTCGTCATTCCAGAGTCCCATGTCTTCCTTCCACGTGCCTCCTCCACCCCCATTCAACCACACGGAGGCAGGCATCTACGCACCCGTTCCACAGTCAGTGCACCATCTTCCCACCGACCTGCGCATCGACACCCAAGGATATGGACTGGATTTCCGTACCAACCCCATGTCCGCGACGACCACCGGATCACCTACCGACTTCGCCAGTCCCATGTACAGCAACGGTGGCCAGGGCGAGATCACGCCAGTCGCCAGCATGGCGCCTCAGTTTAATGTGCCATTCGTCTCGGGCGGTTCAACCGATGCCTCGGCAATGGGCTCCCATGCTCCATCCCCTTACTCCAGCATGAGCCCTGCAGACCCGCTGATTGCAAACCACTCACCGCCACTGTCCAACATATCGCACGGCTCCTCCGATATGTATGGTTTCTCCCATGACCAGCAAACTGGCTTCGATGACGGTCTTTCGATGAACGATATGTACTCCAAGCATCACGTCAACTATGGCGTTTCCCACGAAAGCCCCAGCTTCGAACTGCCCATGCATGGCCTCTCTGCCCACCCTTCTCCTGGCATGGGTGATTACTCCCACGGTATGGCTAACTTGGATGAGATCAACTCCCAGGGCATGCCGACTGGGTCATGAACGAGTGCCTCTCGAGGTTATTGAGTTTGTGTTTCTCCTTCTGTCTCTTGATGTCTCACGGCCTTTTCTATGCATGCGGCGCTTTTGCTTGTCATGCGTTCTTTGGGGGATTTTTTTACCTTGGGAATTTCTTCATTGTCCAATTTCGAGAGCCTTGGCTAGGTGTTTGGTTTCGGTTTTTCTTTTTGCAAAACCCCCTCGATGGCTCTTTTTTGGATGATTCTCGTCTCGCTGGCGACGGCTAGGAAAGCGATTTTACCCTTTGATGTGTTTCTTGCGTGACATACCCTTATGTCTTCTTATATTGATTATACCCTTTCTATTCTGGGGCCGGTCCTGAAGCGATTTTTGTGCTTTTTGTTTCTGTTTTCCCGGCTGTCCCGGTTGAATCCAGGACTTTTTTTCCTCTTCTTTTTCTTCTCTTCTTCTCTTCTTTCTTTTCTTCTTTTCTTCTCTTCTTTTCTCCCGGCCAATTTACCATTCTTCATGTTTTTCTCTTTTGATTTATGACCGGGATCATTTTCTCATCTTCTTCTTTCCCCTTTTTCATTTTCAAATTCTATTTTACGTGGTTATGCCAAACAGACCGACTAGGACTGCGACTCCATTCCCCTCAATTTCCTTTTTTGTTCCATTTTGTGTGAATTTCTTCAAGGAGGGTGGTGCTATCTACCCTAAACTCCTGTGGTTACAATGACCCATTTCCACATCATGGGCCTGCAATCGAATTCTTGCACATGAGCTTGTTCTGTCAGCACCTGTTTGGGTCTGACATCCCACCCACGCCAATCCTCTGGGCTGCGCAGAGTTGTGATATCTTCTGCACGCCACCATACAAGTAGGACGGCGTGGAGCTGGCGGTATACGAGTGGGTGATTGACGCTAGGCTCTGAATCAATTCATTTTGTATCGCATACACCTTCATCTAGATTGTAGCTGTAATTCCTTCTCACTATACTGTACAATGGTAACTACATAGGTACTACTCGTATACATTATTATACAATGGTATCTTAAACCTCTTATATCAACCCAGCATCGCATGCCTTACGCCTGCTTCTGCTTTTCCCACCCCATCGGCAAGGGCGCCTTATACCCTCCCTTCTCCCTAAGGAACCATTCAATCCAAACCTCCATCTTTTCCAAAACATTCCGTTCCGGCTTCCCCTCCATCCCAACATCAAATACACCCTCCTTACACCAAACGCTCCACGACCCCATCATCCCCGCCATAAGCACATCTGTTCCAAGCCGGTCCCCAACAACAGCAATTTCATGCGGAGACTCAACAACCCCCCTCTCCCGGAACCATTGCACAACTTCCTCCCCGCAAAAAGGTTTCTTTTCTGTCCCCGCCGGTAGCCGGAAAACAGGGATGCGAAGATGCGCAAGCTGCGCTTCTAGCTCGGAGATTTCGCTGTCGAAGCGCGGGTGGCTACCGGCGCGGTTCGAGACAATCAGGATTGAGTCCGGGTTTGTGGTTTGGTTGAAGAGGGAGGTTGGCGAGGTGCGGAGGGAGGAGAGTTTGGCCAGGATCTGTGGAGGGAAGGAAGTTGTTTTCGCTGCGCAGAGCGTGTTGTCTTTGTCGAGGACTAGGGCGCGGATTGTGGGTGTGTGGGGGGGCTTTTCGGGTGGTGTTTGGAGTCCTTTCTTTGCATTGATTAGGTGTGGTCCTAGGTTCTCGGGGAGGTGGGTGAAGGTTGGGATGGTGAGGTGTGGGAGGAATTGTGTTGGTTGTTTGAGGAGGGTTTGGACGGCGTGGTTGAAGCCGCGTAGATTGGAATTGGGTGAGCCGGCCATTATGGTGATATTTGAATTTTGACGTAGAATTATCGACGGTGTAGAGATTGCTATTGGATACACATTATGTGGAGATGTTCGTGACTTTTTGAGGTTGGAGTTGTTGTTTGGTCGGGATTAAGAAGAGACAGAGAGAGCCCAAAGCGGAGAGGATGAGCTTAGCCGCAAAACTCGCCTTTCTCTTAACCTCCACTTACTCCGACCTCATCACTGTCCCACCATCTCCCCACGATCACCCATTGCTTTGATTCGTGCCTTTTTTTGCGCGAGGGAAGCTCTCAGGTTTATTTTCGACTTTTGTTAACCGCTTTCCATCCTCGCTCGCCGTCACACAGTCAAAATGGGCAAGCTCACCTCCACGATCGGCATCCCGATCAAGCTCCTCAACGAAGCGCAGGTGCGTTACAGTCCCTGATATCGCCATTTCGATTCCTGGATCAGAAGGCAGGATACACGCATGATGTCGCGAAAATGGATGTTGGCGTGGATAGCGCGAGACAGATGGGCTAATATCGTTTTTGAATAGGGCCATGTCGTGACGATTGAGATCACATCCGGAGTCGTCTACCGGGGGAAACTCTTGGAAGGTGCGTGGCTTTTTCTACTCGAGGTTTTTTCCGGGTGTCTGCTCTCTATTCATAGAGGCGGTCTACAAACAAGCTTCGGGGAATGTCTTTGTTGCGCAATTCGAAAACTAACATACATTTCCCACAGCCGAGGATAACATGAACGTTCAGCTCAAGGACATCACTGTCACCGCTCGCGATGGCCGTGTCTCCCATCTCGACCAGGTCTACATTCGCGGCAGCCACGTGCGATTCTTCATCGTGCCTGATATGCTCCGGTACGTTAAACCTTGATATCCAGCTTTTTGGGTCGCGATTTCGCGAACTGCGCATCTTGAATTTCGCCTTGCTGACTGGCATGTTTCTTTTAGTAATGCTCCCATGTTCCGTACACGAGGCCAGCGCGGGCGCGGTGTCGGTTTGGCGCGTGGTAAGGCTACAGTGCAGCGTGCACGTGGCCAGCGCGGTCGGGGTTAGATGTTATGTGGAAGAGATGAAATCGCAGTTTCAAGGCCTCACAAATTCAAGAGTGGTTGGCGTTTTTCTTTGTTTTCTTGGTTCTTAGGGGATTTCTTTTTCGGGCTTTGATCTTGCGAAGTCTTAAAATATCGGCTGGCATTTGTTCTTGTAGATGCTTTGTCAGACCACCATTCAATTTATGAATCAATACCCGACATGAATCTCCCAGTTCCATGAGTTGAAGCACTGTCCGTGTATGTTTAGCTCACACGGCCCTATCTAGTATTGATATCGATTCAATGCCTTGGATGGCAGGTCATCTACGGCGAACAGCACATTAAGCGTAGCAAAAGCTCCATGCCTACGGAATCAACCTATCTAGGTAGCTAATTAAGGCCTACAAAGAAAAGCGGGAAACACTCATTGGCCATGAGCTAAACAATTCAGACAACATGGGCGGGCCGGGGACTGTGTGGACCGTACGTACATGAGAGCTCCCGCCGCTTTTAGAAAGGGCTGTGTAAATGTGAGCACAGCGATCGTGTACGATTATGTCACGTGACTGTTCGTTCCCTATGTAGAAATACACACCTCTAGAGGTCGTTCCTTCCCATCCTCCACCTTTGCGTACAACCTTGGAATGATAGCCTAATGAAGCAAAGGAATATCTTTCTGGAAGATGCAACGTCCACACCAGCAAGTATAAACCCCCCCTCCTTCTCGTCTGAGCCTTGAAATTCGTATGCTACTCGTCGCGAATTCATGATGTGGTGACAGCAGCCCTGTATACCAAAGCGGTTTCCATGTTGTACGGAGAAGGTCTGGGTTACAGGGTTAGGTATATAAGATATGGACCTGAATCAATTGGATACACAATACTCCCTAAGGTGAATATATTAAGACAAATAACAACACTTGAGGACGTTGAATCCCCAACAATTGAACAAGAAAAAACAAACAAACAGAAAACACGTTCCTTAATTTTCCTTTGCCCTCGAGCTTCAAAACCCATGCCTCTTATGTCAGATCAGAATACTACCTATTTGGCAATTGCCGAGGCTTCCCGCAGCTTTGGCAACTAGCTCATTTTCCCCTGTTGCAAATATCCCCCAACACTTCACAGAATCGATCCAGAAGTACATCTACCTCATTCTTTCTGAGAATGGAGTTGGATGACTCGATCACAAACAAAGCAGTCGTGCTAGTAGGAAATACAAGCAACCACACGATATCCTCGGGGGGAGATTGAAGAATTGCGCGCTCTTCTGGCAGGACACCAGACCGAACTCTGTTCTTACACTTTTGTTGTAGTTTTGAAACACCACCACTGATCCCAATTTGGTTCCTGATGACCAATTGGTGCAATTGCCCACGATTTCATTCCATCCAATGGTCTCAAATCTGATACTCTCACCATGCTGAGACTGGACAGCACGAAGTAGCTCATGGGGAGTGTCAGACTTTAGTGTTTGTTGAACCCGGACTGGGATGGTATTAATGCAGGGGCCGAGAACTTCAGTAATACCCGGAAGGAGTAGATTTCGGGCAGTGATCAATTGCCCGAAGACAACGTCCGAGGAGCCTGTCCATTCCTGCAGCACTGTTGCCCAGGCTACTTTGATAACCGTAGCCATGGTTATCCCAGCAGGGGGCGTGGGCAAAGACATCTCCCTCTCAAAGCCCACACTTTTCTCCTCCACGACCGGAATGGTGGGGAAGGGACTTGGAGTGACTTGCGAATCCTGGAGTAGATTTCCCCAGAATTCGTACGCCTCGGGGGTTCTCTGTCGGAAGCATTCACGGGTATAAGCGGAAAAGTCAGATTCAATGTGTGCTTCTTGGTTATTGTATTGGGCCCATAGATCAGACACAAGCTTCTGGAGACTGATTGCATCGTATTGGGCATGTAGCAGTCTGATGATCAGGATGAAGTGGTCTGGTGCATCTTGGACTAGTTTGAACTCAACTCGGGGCTCATCTGCGTGGTACGTCTTCTGCAGTTCTGCCTCGCAGGAGGATTTTGCCCAGTTCTGAGCACTTTGGCCTCCTGAGGGTTGAACCGCGAACGGCACATCTATACGGCGCAGAATAACCTGGAATATGTCCTCTCGGAAGGGGATAAAAATCGACCGCAAGATGGTATGCTTGTCGACAACCGCTTGGCAGGCGCGGTGGAGTTTCAATGGATCAACATGGCCCTTCAATTCATAAAGGTGATAGTCAAGCATATGTGTAGAAGCCAAGGTGTGCTGCTCCTCCAGTGTTGGGAAAGCGTCCTCGACCTGGTCTACCATCAACGGCGGTGGGAGATTGGCGAGAAACTCATCCCGGACTGCTTTGAACGGGTCATATGCCTCATCTGGGACTGAGGCATCAACCTTTTGATGGCACTCAACAAGTCTCAGTAGGGACGACGCTCGGAATATATCGGCCACCGCGATATACAAGCCGCTCTGCCGGCACTTAGTTACTAACTCCCGAGCAGTGATGGAGTTACCACCGAGGCCAAAGAAGTTGGACTGCATCCCTACCGTCGCCGATGGGAGGTTAAGCACCTGCGAACATACTGCTTGAAGGAGGGTCTCTTGGGCTGTAGTGGGATCTTGATGAACAGAGTCGTGGGAGATGTATGCCAATAGGTCTTTGCGGGACAGCTTAGATGCTTCTTCGCGCAGCGCTCGCCGATTCAGCTTACCAGTTGCAGTTTGTGGCAATACCACCGTGGCTACAATAGCCGCGGGTACCATGAAGCCGGGGAGAGCCTGATGTAGGTTTGACAAGGCGTTTCTAGCTTTCTGGCGGAAATCCTGAGTGGGTGAGGCAAAGAGGCCTTCTATCACACCATCACGTTGGAGCGTGGACTGCTGCTTTCCAATAGGAACGAAGGCAACCAGAAGTGGGTTTTGGGCTGTGTCATCTGCTGGAACAACCACGTCGACCACTGCTGGTTCATGGGTGTTGAATTGAGGGCACAGGTGGTGTTCGATCTCAGCAAGCTCGATTCGCTGGCCGCGAATTTTGACCATTCCGGTTCCTTTGCGGCCCAGCAAGTGTAAGGTTCCATCCTGCGGGTTGTACTTGACGAGATCACCGGTCCTCAAAAATCGACCATTGCTATCGGGTCGGAGCTGTTTTAGCCAAGCAGGATCATGTAAAAAGGTCATCCGGTTCTGCTCTGGATTATCCATATACCCTCTACTCAGACACGGCCCTTCGAGTAGGAGCTCTCCTTCCGCCCCAATTGGCATGAGGATGTCCGGATCATGAGGACTGACCACCCAAGGGGTTGCACATAGTGGCCGCTTGAATTGGCGAACATCGCAGCCGGGCTCGTTGCGACTGCCGTAACAGCAACCCTTCGAGTTCTCTGACATTCCATATAGAGACAAGAGGTTGACACCGCTGTGCTGCCACTTGGCCAGTTCGGTCGCCGCCATGGGCTCACCCACCATGACCAATGTCTTCAGTCCAGAAATCTCTCCTGGGTCCAGCAGGCGAAGGACCGATGGGGTCAGTTTGAGCCAATTTGCCTCGTGCTGACGAATTGCCCCAAGCAAGTCGTTCTGCAGCTGCTGTTCGGACGGCACACAGATACAGGCTCCCTGGGCAAGGGGAGCGAGCTGATCTGTGAGACTAACAATGAAGGCGTAAGAGGCATACTGTAACACGCGGGACTGAGGAGACAAACTAAGTTGTTGGGCGTAGTTTGTCAGGCCACTCGTGAAGGCTGTATGATCCATCGCAAACCTCTTGGGTTCTCCCGTGGAACCGGAGGTAAAGCCGGCATACATGATGTTATGCGGGTGAACAGTTGCGAGTTGTTGGGGCTCCGCTGCAGGAAGCTCTCTCATTTCTAAGTCTCGGGGAAGCACCCAGATGGGAACATCCAACTTCTCCGCCAGAGCTTCATGTTTGGCCGACACTAGGACGAGTTGTGGTTGAGCCTTGCGACACATCACTGCCAGTCGTTTTGCGGGTTGTGAGGCATCTAGGAGATAAAAGCACCCGCCTGCTTTTAGCACAGCGAAGATGGCCACTGTTGTCCACATGGATTTCTCCATGAGCAGACCAACAAACCGATCTGGGCCCACCCCGCTGGCGACTAAACGAGCAGCCATTTTCGACGCCTGCTCATCTAGTTCACCGAAGGTCAGCTTACCATCCCAGGCACTGATTGCTGGAGCCAATGGCTGTTCATGACAACGTTCCTCGATGAGGTGATGAGCGAGCTTTTCGACGCGTTGAGGGAGTGTTTCCGCATTCCACTGAAGTATCTTCTCAATGGATTCCGGGCTGCTCCCTTGGACGTCAGCAATAGAATTTTCGGGATTGTGTATGATACTGGTATAGACATGGCGCAGTTGGAAGAGAATAATCCTCAGAAGTTCTAGTACCAAAATTTGCCCATCAAAAATCGCTTGGACCAAGATGGCATCAGGCTGGATTCGGCAATGTATTTGCAGAGGACATGTGTTGACTTTCGGTTCAAAGCTTTCTTCTCCGTCTTTCCGAATCACCAGGATGTTATGGAATGTGTCGGTGCTCTGCGGTGTCTTATCCTGCGCAGTGATGATATCCTCCCCGTGATTTAATGCTTTCGTGACGGAAGCCTCTGGCTGAAGTCTCAGAATACATGGTAGCACATCAGAGTAGGATGGCCGCACCAGGCCAAACAGCACATCGGTTGAATTGGTAAAAGTGGTCAACACGATCCCCCATGCCACTGCCAAAGCGTTGACCGTTGCTGAATCTCTCCCAGCATCATTACAACCATCAATCACCAGGTCAAGCCGATCTTTCGCTGAGCCCTGGTAGCCATTGAATGACAAGTCAGGAAAGCCTGTCGGGTGAAAGTCTGTCAGGTGACTCATTTTATCATCGATTTTTGCTCTTCTTCTCACTTCTCAATGCAAGGCTTTTAGTCTCTCCCGATTCATCCGGATTCAAGAGTTCAGCTGCAGCCCTTTTTATGCCTCCGGCTTATAATGACAAAAATTTCACATTGTATCTCATCATTTTAGTAAACTATATTTGGCAATGTGGTTTTATACACATTACACATTACATAGCCTGTATAATCCAAAAAGTGTGTAATCTAAGAACCTCATTTACTAGTACGGAGTAGGGAGCTGAGAGCTGCAGCTACGTACATAATTAAGTTGCCCCACAGTTCACGACTGTTTCTTCAAAAACCAGGGAACTAGAGAATGTAGAACTGTGGGGGCTTACTCCGTACTCCTTACTAGCTGTTAGTATTTCTTGGTTGCGGCAGAGCTCAACAAATTAGGTCGATCACTTACCACATCGAGATATGATCGGGATGTAATTTTCACGACACGGGTGAAGCGATCAGGGTTTCTAGCTCGATCGAGCTAAATTACAACAGTATGGAGTACTAGGTTCCAATACACAGATATCCATATTCGGAAATTGTGATCGGCGTGTTGACAACTTGTCAGGTGGGCCCCCATTTTAGACACAGTGGGGAGTTAGATGCTCCAATCGGTTAAAAACTCCTGATGTATATATATATTTCGACTAGAATATACTCTGTACTGCGTAAAACACTACGTCGGGATCCTTGTATGATTCTAATCTGGACCTGGCTTTTTACAAAGTACTCCGTACAATGATCCACTTATTTGCAGCGCCCAACTCTTTCTTTCCTTGCTACAGCATGATCTATGCTCGGCCATATATTGCCATATCTGATACATTGATTTCTCTTGGAGTCTATTTGTTAATGTAGCTAGACAGGAACCATATGAAAAAAACATTATCATCACTCTATACTCTCGGGCGTGGGATGAATATAAGAAGAGAACAGTTTCTTATTATCAAGCCATATTACTGGAGGCTCAAGAAGTTGTTGTTCTTATATTGAGATTTCAAAGGATAGGTCGTTGCTAAATTAATCCCTTCCATTTCTCAATCATGTGCTAGTTAAAAAATTGTAAGAGGTCGCCTTCGGTCGAACCAACATTTCCGTTCGCTCCCTTCGATATAAGATCGATTGCTAAGCCCTTCAGTTTGCCCTTTGGATCTATCCGGGGCGTTTCAGATAATCCAGGTCCCGCCATGATTTGCCTAAAGAAAAGCATCCAGACCCCAATGAGAATCAAAGCTTCAGCGAACAATTCCGCGTCCAGATCTCGGTACCCCCGTACAAATCCTTGAGTCAATGAAATGAAGGAGCCAGCACCGCTAAAATGGTGTTGAATGTAGGTGACTGCCATCATATTGGCAAAGTCGTGGAGCTGGTTTTCATACGTAATAGTCTCCCAATCAATAACGGTAAGCTCTGTGCCAATTGGCAAAGATGAGTATTGAATGAGAATACTGTTCATCTCTGTTAGCATATTGTCATGAACATGGAAAGACAAAGCATACTTTCGCGAGGAAAAGTCCCCATGAATCACACCCTGCACTCTTTGGTCCTTCTTGATGAGAGCCGCGAGGACTGCTTGCCGCAGGATTTTATCCTCGCACTGATTGGCAACCGCTTCGTATAAAGGACTGGGTGTCTTGCAGTGAAGGTCTTCATTGTGCTGAAATGTCTTCAAAATTTGTTCTTCAATCAAACTCCTGCCCCAATTATGGAAACAAGCAAGCCATTGCCCGATCGCTTCGCCAATGGACATGATTTGGTCTTGGATAATGGGCCCAGGAGGAGGTGACAGAAGAAATGACTTCAACAACTGACTCTCGATTTTGTCCTCGACGAGTTGTATTTGTAACTCGGGAATGAAATGATATAGATGCACGGGTTTTATTGAGACGCCATTCTCCAAGATAGGCTTAAAGGCGCCAGTATCTTTGGCCATCTGCAGGAATGCCAGCTCGGCTGTCTGTAAATAATATTGTTAAACAAATACTCTTAATCCAAAGGAAAGAACATACAGATCGAGTGACATCTGAACATTGTCTAATAATGACACTCCGGCTTCCATCTGGCAACGGGTCGACCAACGATCCCCTGCAGATGCAATTCACGCTTCCGCCTACCAATCTCTCAACGGAGGAGCAGGCATAGGGGAGATGGGCCAAAATGTCAATAAATCGAACATCTTCTGCGTTTTCTTGCGGTGTACTCATCTTACTAGGACAGCCTCTTACTAGGACAGCCTCTTACTAGCACAGCTTAACACAATGAGAATGTGTTTGGAACAGCTGAACTATTGGCTAGCTCAGGTGATCTAATTGCTTTATGGGGCTTGGGACATGTATTTTAAATTAGTCAATCGGATTGCTTTATTCGGTACATAGATCGATCGATCGATCAATATTACATATACGTAGGTATGAAGCACTTGCCCCACAGTTCACCTCGTGTTCAAATTTCTTCAGAAAGATTAAAAGGAACTACTGCAAGAAGGTGGAACCCCTGACGCTTACGATATATCGACGTTTTTTAATGGTAAATTACCACGAAATTACCCCAAATACGAAAACAGTACAACTGTGTATTTTTCTGTACGAAGTATATCGTATTTTAATCTGGCTATAGTAGTATATATACTTGGGCAGACTGATACAGCTCATGCCCCCCTTTTGTGCCATTCATTATTGTACTTGCAAAATGATCTTTAATTCGTTACTGCCTCTTCCGTCGTTGCCTCAGGCTGATGTCTTTACTTACATCTTTCGCCATGGACGGCGAGATTATCCCAAAGACCGTGTTCTATATCAAGTAGACGGGACTGAGGAGACGTTGACGTTGAGCCAGTTAGAGCATCGAAGTCTGAAATTGGCTCGCCACTTGAGAGCCGAATATCAAATCCAACCTCAGGACGTGGTGGCGATATTTGCTCATGATCTAGTATGTCTATCTACATGGAAATAATTTGATTCACCTAACATTATCCCCAGATTCAATATCCCATTGCATACTTTGGTTGTGTCGCTGCGGGAGCCACGGTGGCCCTGATTCCAGTTCAGAAACAGCAAAATGAGACGGACGTTGTCTCGCATCTCAAACTGGTCAATGCAAAGCTGATTCTGACTGATCAAAAGCTGCTCTCCCTAACAAAGAAGGCATTGACCCAGTATCGCGATATTCCGCTACTTACGTTGGATCGCGGAACCGCATCATATCCGAATCTGGAAGACATACTGGTGGAATCGAGATGCCGCGATGATAGCCATTTCACGCCGGTTTTCGAATTGACTACCAATGCCCAGGCAGAAGGATACACAGGCTTTATCAATCGCACCAGCGGTTCTACTGGAAGTATGAAGTCGGTTCTGGTCAGCCATGCCCATTTCATCGCAACGATGGAAGCCACTCGCCTCACAGTTCCATCCACCACCAACCCGGACGAAGATGTTTGGATCTCCCCTCTGTCTCTCGGCTTCTTCATCAACGCCAAGTTGCATATGGGTCTTAACATCTTACTGGGAATTCCGGTGGTGCTGATGCGCGAATCTCTCGAATCATCCAATATCGATGTTATCCCCCGTCACGGGATCACGTTCCTCTTTGTTGCGCCCCCGTTGGCTGCGAAGCTTGCATCCGACCGCAGCGAAACAGACCTGAGCAGCATGAAATGGATATTGAGTGCGGGTAGCCCCATCAGCGAAGGTGTTCGCGATGCCCTGTCCTGCCGCTTTGACGGACTGCCATTGACAATGGAATGGGCCTCGGCCGAAACGATGCTCCTCACTATCCAGACCGAAGACGAATCTTCCCGCCGGCCTGGATCAAGTGGAACTCTGGTCAACGGTGTGCAGGCGAAGGTAATTGACACGGAAACTGGCGCTACTTGTGGGATTGGCGAGTCGGGAGAACTCTACGTGCGCAATAAGTTGGCGCGTTTCAAAGGATATAAGGACAACGAGGCGGCCAACCGTGCGTTTACTTCGGACGGATGGTTCCAGACAGGCGATTACGGGTACATAGATGAAGACAGCAACGTATACATCGTCGACCGTCTCAAGGAGCTGATCAAGGTTGGGGAGGGCTACGGATCACATGTTTCGGCCGCCGAGCTGGAGGGGATCATCTTTGGCCACCCTGCTGTAGGCAGTGTTGTTGTGGTGGGATGCCGTGATGAAGCCGCCCAGCTGGACCGACCGACTGCATTTGTTGTTTTAAAGCCGGAATTCCGTGAAATGCCAGCACAGATGAAGGAGGATATCGAGCGATATGCGGGTGAGAGACTGTCTGGTTTGCAATGTCTGTCTGGTGGAGTCCGCTGTATCGATCAGATTCCGGTGACGGGATTCAAGATAAACCGGAGAGCCTTGAGGAGCATGGCCTAGACCGATGCTAGCTGTTGAGGTCTGTGACTGCCTGAGACTTCGCCTCCTCCAACTAGATAGTAGATGCATCTGTTTTTGTGATAGTGATTCATCAAAGATCTTCTCTCCTAGCAGATTCGTTATCACTAACTTGACCTATAATTCTATGTAGCCATGGACTGTAAATCGGTATTACTATCTGGACCCCGAAAATTTCCTACTGCTCATGGGCAACTAGTAAATGATTGTATGGTATTCTCAGATAATTACGGTAACTAATACGGTACATGTATTATTGGTATCCTACCCAATTCCGACATCAATCCACGAAATTAGACATACGGACATCCACCCCAAGGGGCTGGAAATTTTGGATTTAGCACTACTGAGATAACTGAAGATCTTCAGGAGCTTCTTAGTCGCGTGTGATCTGCAAGTTCTCTCCGAGAACTGACAACTGATTCCACTCTGTGGTAGCTGGGTTGATCAATGACTAGCTGAGCTTACCTAGTACGGAGTAGGGTAGGTTAACTAACCCAAGAAACCTAATTTTTCCAGTTCTGCAATGTCAATAAACCCCTTTAGTCCGATGGATCGACATAATTGTGGCAGAGCTGACCGTAGTTTGATCAGATCCTGCAATGAACCTACATCCACTTTAAGCTCAACTTTAATATATTAAAATATGGTATGATGTGAATTCCCCGTATACCTTCACCAAGTATGGGTCGTCCATCTTAGAACACAGAAATTTTAAGAAATTATGTACCTTTTATATGGCATGTCTATGCAAAAGGCACTTAAACATAGCATATTTATAATTGGAATTTTTCCAGTCTCAGGAACAATTAGGCAGCATAAAGTGGGGCCTAGGGTTTATAAAAAAATGTATCTTTTTATTTAGTTAGAGCGGCTAAGAAGAAATATTAAGCGTTCTCTAAGTGTCAGTCTCTTACGTATGGTATTTTTTGAATGTAGTCTCTATTCCTCCTGATTAAATATATAAATTTTATTTTAGTGGCAAATCAATTAAACGAGACCTGTGTTATTTATTAATACTCTCCTTTACCGTGCAGCTAATAGGAGAGCTGTGAAAAGAAAGTGTTGGGCATATGTACCATTTGTATGAACATTCTATATAAAAGATATTTGATTTAATTTCTGTTTAGCGGGACAAACCCAACCCGAGTAAAATTCGGCTGGTAAGACGGCTATTAGCTTCCTAACTATATTGATCAAAAAAGAAAGAAAAAGAAATAAATCAACAAATAACCAATCCGACTGAAATATGCTAGGCCTACAGAACCAGATCCTTGGGCTTCTCCCATGGGAATAGAGAGTTGGTAAAGTGCCCATTCTTCGATGTTTGGTAGTATATGGGTTTCGTCAATCCCAACTTTTTCGCAATGAAAGCAGGCCGCATGTCGAAGTTCTCGAACACGACCTTTTCCAATTGCAAATTGGTCATCTTGCCAGTTCCATAGGTATCAACGAAAATACTCAATGGCTCGGCAACACCAATCGAGTATGACAGCTGGATAAGACACCGCTGTGCGAGGCCAGCATGGATGATCGATTTGGCGATCCATCGTGCCATGTACGCAGCAGAGCGATCAACCTGTGGAAATACTGAGCATCCCCTCAGTGTGGATCAGAAGTACAAAGAACACATACCTGGCGGTAATCTTTGCCGGAAAAAGCACCACCACCATGGGCGCCCCATCCACCGTAAGTATCGACGACGATCTTTCGGCCTGTGACACCAGCGAATTTCCCTGATGGTGTCACACCCAAGTCTCCAGTGGGTTGGATCTATTCCTGAATTAGTATTTTGGGGGAGATGCTTCTGGCACATGGAAAAACATACGTAGTAAACAGTCTGGTCATCCAGGTACTGCGCGGGAACCGCCTTGCAGATGACCTTTTCAAAAACTTCCCGTCGTAATTCCTCGACTGTCACATCCGGCGTATGCTGCGCCGTGAGAACAATAGTATGCACCCGCAACGGGACCGTCTCGCCATTCTTGCGTCTGGCGTATTCGATGGTGACTTGTGTCTTGGTGTCTGGTAGCAACCAGGGAAGAGTCCCATCCAAACGGGAAGTCTTCATTTGTCGCGTAATACGGTGTGAGAGATCAATGGTGAGGGGCCTAATGTGGTTAGCAAGTGGGAATGTCAACCCAACTCTGGAACGTACAGTGATTGTGGTGTTTCATTCGAGGCATAACCGAAAATGATGCCCTGGTCACCGGCGGCTTCGGTATCGGAAGTACTGAGGAATACCAATGGCGCAGCAACTTCGGGAGTAGTTCGTCGCTCGATGTGATCCATTACCTTGCAAGTCTTGTAATCGAGTTCCTGGTAGGCAGAGTCATATCCGATGTCCTTCAGGACCATGCGAACAATGGCATCGACATCAATTTGGGCTTGGGTGTCCAGGACACCAAACACAAAGATCAGGCCTGGTCGAGCGGCAGCTTCGATGGCGACTTTGGACAGGGGATCTTGTGTTAAACAAGCATCGAGGATGGCGTCTGCTATTTGATCACAAACTTTATCTGGGTGACCTTCCCCGACAGACTCGGAGGTGAAAAGAAAGGTGGGCTCAGTAATCTCAGTTTTAAGTAACATGATGGTTGGATATATTCGGGATCAGTCGGGGAACAAAATTTAACAAGGGCAAATGTAGGAAAATAGTATTTGCTAGATTGACACAACCAAAGGGGCGAGGAGCTCTATGTTTATGTAGCAAGATTTATAAAACTGGATTATCGGATTCCATTCTTGTAAAAGAGTATTCGAAACAGATCAAAGGTCATGGCCAGATTTCGCTATACATCTGATACAGTAAGTACGATATAGGTATTTATTGTATTTTATATAATTTCTGTCTTGCGTATTTTGCGTATTTTACGTTTTGTGGAGCCTAGGCTTCTTCTCTCTCATCATTTGAATCTTCTTCTGCTACGGAGTACTCCGTATGCAGATCACTAGTGTAGGAGGCCCCTGCTGGACAGACGTCCCCTGTCTCAAAGCGAACAACACCTGCATGCTAGAGATACATAGTTCTCACATTGTACGTAATAGCTCCTTCGGGCAGTTAGACAAGTCACGATTTCTACCATGTACGGAGTAATCCGTGCCATTCTCCCCATACCGTATCGGATCTCCTCGGCTTCTCTTTAGTCGATCTGGGATGCGGACCACTTTGTGCACCCCACCACGCTAATGAATATCGATACATACAGGATGAGGCCGCGGTAATCAATCCCATTGGAATATCATGGGAGTCCGATCTCTCCACTAATTTCCGATACACTGAAATCATCTGAAATTTACTGATTCTAAGGTTGCCATGACAGAAGTATCATTCCTATGAGCCGAAAGAAAATTATTTGGAAATCTCTATTAAATTGAAAGGCCGAACTTAGTGGGGGTTATTGAGATCTACTCATAATTTTATTATTCAAGCAGAAGGGGTGTGATTTGTCTCAAGCGAATCTAGTAGAGCTCTTAACATTCTCGTCTCTTGTTCATTCTATCTATCTTCCTACTCAATCGTTGCCAAAATGACAGCAGCACACAGCTTAACCAGCCAGCCTCTCAACAAGGCTGCTTGGGCACTCAGTCCCAAAGCCAGACCATTCGTGGTGCAAGAAGCGCCCTACCCTTCACCCGAACCAAACGAGGTAGTGGTAAAAAACCATGCTGTTGCAATCAACCCGTGCGACTACATGCTGCAAGAAACTGCGTTCCTGGATTACATCCCATATCCCAACATTTTTGGCGTCGATGTCGCAGGCGAAGTGGTGGAAGTGGGATCAAATGTCACTGATGTGACAGTTGGACAGCGGGTGATCGGGTTTGACCTCACATTGTTCAGAATGTCACGTATGCTCGACTAACTCAGGTCAATTTCAGACATGCCTTTGGAATGGATAGCACCTACACTCGTCACGCCGGATTTCAACACTATACTGCTCTGCTTTCGAGTTTAACCTGCCCATTACCCGCTGATGTCTCGTTCACTCAAGGCTCAGTCGTCCCCTGTGCGCTTTCGACCGCAGCGGCGGCGTTGTATCAAAAGGAAGATCTTCATCTCCAACATCCTTCTATGGTTCCCAAACCGACCGGCAAGACTCTCTTGGTATGGGGTGGCGCATCTAGTGTGGGTAATTGTGCTATCCAACTGGCTAAGGCTTCAGGCTATGAGGTCATGACCACTGCCAGCCCACAGAATCACGAACTGTGTCTTCGTCTCGGTGCGTCTAAGGTGTTTGACTATCACAGCACATCCGTGGGAGATGAGATAGTCCAGGCTCTGAGCGATGTGGACTTTGCGGGCGTTTTGGACGCAATTTCCAAACGGGCAACCGTGCAAATATGTGTGGATATTGTATACGCGTTGAAGCAGGACAAGAAAGTCATGACGACAAACCCCGTCCCAAATGAAGTGTCACTTCATGGCGTTGAGGCTAAAGCCGGTAAGGCTGGCACTTACTGGGTTTGATGAATTTAACTGACTCGTGAATAGTGCTGGCAGGGACCATCGTAGAAAACGAAGTCAGCAAAGCAGTTTACCGTGATTTCCTGCCTGAGGCATTGAGGAAGAAAATATTCCAAGCTACACCAGAGCCATTGGTGATTGGCCATGGATTGGAGTCAGTTCAGGTTGGATTGGACAGAGTGCGACAAGGGATGAGTGCTCAAAAGGCTGTGGTGACGTTGTGAGAATCCCTAAAAAAAACCGATTAGTATAGTAAAAATGTCTAAATAAATCTTCATTGCCCATTGTATATTGAAATGTAAAAATCTCAATACCCACGTACATTGTGGGAATAAAAAAAACATTCGTCGTAAGATTTGAGTATGAGTTACCATACATGTATTAAACTTTAGTTATTGCCATGTCTCACTTTTCCCTGTCTCATGTCAAGTTAAGAGTCTTCATACTGCTGGATAATTTCCCTTTCAAACCACAATGTCGGTCAATATGGATGGCCCAAAGCCTTCTGAAGATGGGTTTCGTTCATCTAGGATATTTATCAGCTCGTCCATGTACATTGCTTTGTTTGCTGGTTCGTTGTCGTCCTTCTCATGTTCTCGTTTTACGCTAACTGGACGATACACCATTAAGAAACCTTCCTTTTTGGCTTCATTGTTCCCATACTTGGATATATGCTTGAAGATCGTCTGCACTTGGATCCCTCGCATACCCAAAGTCTCACCACTGCGCTGCTCACAATCCACGGTTTCGTCTCTCTGATCTCCGGTCCCATTATCGCCCACTTCGCGGACAAAACGCCAAGCAAGAAGATCCCACTACTGTTTGCTCTGACCGGATGTCTGATAGGCACAATTCTCGTCGCATGCACTCCTTCACGTAGGTTTCATCGCTATGATCATAGTTGCGCGAATATAAGCTGACCATTCGTGCCTCGGGTTACAATTCAGTATGGGCACTCTTTTTAGGACGAATCATACAAGGTGTCGCAGGATCTGCTACATGGGTTATTGGCCTAGCTACGATAACTGATATTACGAGCAAAGATAAAATGGGACAGGTAATGGGCACTGCCAGATCTTTCGCGTCAACAGGCGTCGTTGGAGGACCTATGGTCGCCGGTGTGCTACTTCAGCTATTTGGATACTGGCCAGCATGGTCCGTCCCGATGGCGGTGCTTGTATTGGACATGGTCGCCCGCCTCACGATTCCCAATCAACTTATCAGCTCCCCCAAGCCCGGTTCCTCTGCCACAGAAGTCACCCCAGACGAGACCACCTCCTTACTTTCTGAATCCTCTACCATTAATCAAGCCCCCGAAGCTCGTCCATCATTTGCAGACTCTGAGAATGCATCGGGTCGCGGTTTTTACAGCATTATGCTTCGCGATCCTAGGGTCCTGTCTAGTCTCCTAAACAGCCTGACCACTTCTGCCGTCGTTGCCGGGTTTGATACCACTCTTCCATTACATGTGCGAAATGCATTTGGCTGGGAGAGCTTGCCTGCTGGTATGATGTTTCTTTGCTTGCAGATTCCTGCCATCCTACTGGGTCCTGTGGCTGGGTTGATTCGAGACCGACATGGTGTCCGATCCGTTACCTTCTCAGGTTGGGTTATTCTAACTCCGATGTTTGTTCTCCTGGGCATGCCTGGCGACAGTCGATTCGCGTGGGCTAGTGATGAAGCCGGGAAGGCCATCCACCTGGCATCCTTGTCCACGATTGGCCTTTTCCTCTGCCTGGTGCGCGGTTCAGGTGGTCAACAAATATCAGGTAAGTCAGATGCCATTTTTTACTTTCTATCGCTTTACACCCATATCACATGCTGACTCGTATCTTAGCCCTTGCCAAAAACCTACAGGCCAAGAATCCCCTCATCTTCGGGACCCATGGGGGATCATCCCGTGTTTCCTCCTTGTACGGGGTTTCTTTCAGTCTTGGATTAATGCTAGGACCTTTGATATGTGGATCTTTAGTCGATGCGGCTGGATACTTCTATATGAACGTAATAATGGGTGAGTACTAGCTTTATTTTTCCCGACTTCCATTACCTAACTCTATTGTAGCACTAGTCTGCCTCGCCAACGGCGCCTCGTCCCTCTTCTTTATGGATGGCAAGTCCCCAAAGAATGACAATAATGTGCCTGCTTGAAATTGATGATCTAAACCTACTAGTCCGCTACCCAATGCTGGCTGATGCTATATATAACGTGTTTTATCAACATATCAACATTTCTCGACATAATAGTCCCATATTTATATATATTTTGAGAACAATGATCGTTTTTGTGTCCATCAATATTCATGAACCAGTGAGCCCTGATTACGTACATGTAGTGATATCAGGTTGACTAATTTGACCTTGTGAATTCTTTCTTTTCCTTCTTTTCTATTGTTCATTTGCAGTTGGTTATTTTGATCAAACAACTGCCATTGAACCGACTATGTGCCTAGGTATTGTAAACTGTGTCGGTATGTTATTTCGGGTTCTCAATTTCAGTATATATGCTGTAATACATACGCTTGTAATCTATCAGGGTACCAATGTATGGACCTCAACATTGAGTTGTAATTTATTCGTGCCGTCCCGCTATGGATCCACGGTTCCACCATGCATTTCCAAGATTCCTGAAGAAACTTTGGAACAAGCTGAACTCTGTGGGGCAACTCAGGTACGGTACAATATACGTACATACATATGTACCGATGAGATCTACATCGTGTGCTGACCCAACCACTTCCCGAGGTCTCTGAACTACCTACGGAGTACTCTGTACATAAAATAAGATGTAAAAGGTATATATCCTTGCCTCGCATGTTATTGTTTTATATAAATCTAGATCATGTTTTTATGTGGTAATTTAATAAGCTATCGACATAATTGTGATAGAGCTGAAGGCACATAGCTTGTCATATCATGAAATGGAAGCTATGCATATCCACTTTAAGCTACTAGTCCACATCGAATTAGCCTTGGAAGACTTTGTATGTTAGTTTTCTTCGCTACCCAGTGCCGAAGAATTAGACCGAACAAATCCGAGCTTAACTCATTTTATCTGTATTTTTTAGCTACCCGATCACGCTACTCGTTGTCTCGGTGTGATTAACCGAGGATCGAAGAATTTTACATCCCAAGTGAATTGTTCCCCAAATTTCCCATTCCTAACTCATAATTCCTAATTCAACAATTCAACAATTCACCAATTCAACAATTCACACCAAACTTTTTGTCTCAATAGTATGTCTACATGTTCACCCCCTGTATCTAACGGATTGCAACGTGTGTCTAACATGTCTCATAGTGGATACTCTGGAAATCAAAACATCCGCCATTGAATGGCTTCAGCAATACCACGCAGCCGGTGATGCCCTCAATCCCGATGTCTCCGTTCCTAAATTCTACACCCCAGATTGCGTGATGCGCTTTCCAGGGCAGCCCCCTTACAGGGTCACGACGCCATTAAGGGTTTCTTCAACAAGCAATTCTCCCTTCTTGATAGCATGACGCATACAATTGGCCATGTGGATGTGTTGCCGGATCGGATTTACCAGGAGGCCAAGATTGAATATGTAGTCAAGGGGGATCCGGAGCAGAAGGTCATTAAGGTTGACGGCCTTGCAGTTTTTGGTAGACGAGTTGGAGAAGATCAGATGAGCTTTTTCACTGTCTATTTGGATCCTCGCCCGTTGTTAGAGAGGAAGCAGATGGTTTCTGCGATGGGAAGTTAGATTTGTAGATATTTACTCTCTATCTTTTTTCTTGACCTAGTATTATGGCCAGTGGCACGGATGTGGACCTAGACTGGTTGAAAAAATAATAAAAATACAATCCTAATTACGAGGTACTACTATGTATGTATGGCTACTAATGTATTAAGATTTGCCTGCATATCCAGTACAATACATACGTCCAAGTATAGAAAGCATTCGAACCGTGCGGAGTACAAGATACCCTATATAACGCGGAAAAATATGCGATGATCGACACGAAAAGAGCTGGAATAAGAAATACATTTATGCCAATTAGCGATATATGATAGGTAAAATTCGAAAGTTAGGGTTAGAATAACTGGTTTATTTTTTACTACTTCACTTTCACCTGCTGGTTCTATATCACTCTCGAGATTAGTTTAACTCATCATCTAGACAACATGATGGAAAATCCATTCCTCCCTATTGTTTCCTTCGTAAAGGAAATTCTTGTCGCGATTTCCTTCGTTTATTTCGTTGCCCTGGTATCTTACCGACTCTGCCTTCATCCTCTGTCCAAATACCCTGGTCCCAAACTGGCAGCCGTTTCTTGTCTATACAGAGCTTATCACCAGACCTGGCGAGATGGGCGTTTGGTAGAGCAATTAACTCACCTCCATGAAGTCTATGGTAAGTTCTTCTTATTCTTCGTTTTCCTCCTCTATTACCGCTCTAACAGTTTGTTATAATAGGCCCCGTTGTTCGAATCACACCTAACACTGTGCGTGTCATCTCTTAACAAAATCGTCGATAAATTAACTGACTCGTTATTCAGCTACACTTTCGCAACCCCCAAGCATTCCATGATATCTTCTCGCCGCAGAACAAGACAGTCAAAGATCAAGAGTTTTACCATCATCTCGGGCTGCCCGACTCATCGTTTAGACTTGAAGGAGAGGAGCACGCCGCGCGGTTGAAGCTCATGTCCCCACTCTTGGGTCGCAATCATATGGACGATATTCAAATTATTGTTCGTCGCAATGTATGTTGCATCTCCCGTTAATAAATAGAAGGGAATCTCACACTTTTGTAGGTACAACGATTCTGTGACCTGCTGCAATCTAGCGCGGGAAATCATAAGCCCATCGAGCTAGCATTGGGATACCGTGGCTTGGCATTGGATATAATTAACGAGTTTATATTTGCCGTCATTCCTGACAGACTCCGCGGACTCGAAAACGAAAAGTTCCGTAATCCGCTCTCAATGTCAACATACTACAGCTTCGACTGGACTATGTGGCTCATGAGGAACTTCCCAGTGACCTGTCATTTCCATGACTTTACGAGTTATCTTCCCCCAGTCTGAAATTCAGTTATGACCAACGGAATGTGATGACAGAGGTATTTCCCATTCATCCCCTGCGCCTGCATTTTTATTGTCCTTCGTGTTGACTGGCGCATAGTTAATGACCAACCTTCTGCACTATAATCTTTCGTCCCCTGAGATGAACGATAGAGCCACTCTTATTGGTAATATGACAAAGCCAGGTAGTGAAAGAAATGGCAAACCGCTCCCGGAATCAGCTCTTCTGGATGAAGCAATCGGGGTTATGCATGGTGGGGTTCTTGATATCTCCAACGTCCTGCCTTTCGGAACTTTCCACTTGGCCCAAGATCCTAAAGCACAGCAGAAGCTGTATGAAGAGCTCAAAAGTGTATGGAAGAACCCATCGGATCAAATCCCAGACCATGAAATACTCCGAAACCTTCCCTATTTGGTAAATACCGCCTGGACCAGAATGAAAACCTTTAAGTTCGACATGTCACTAACTTTTGATTAGAAAGGCCTAGTTAAGGAAACACTTCGCTTCACACACGGCGTCATTTCCGGCATGCCTCGTGTGGTCACAGCGACCGGTGCTCAGATCGATGGAAATTACATCCCGCCTGGGGTATGTGCATTAAAAGTTGATTCTCGTTATGATAGACAATAACCGTTTGTATTTCTTTAGACCATTGTTGCTACCACTTCCGTCTATGTCCACATGGATCCGAACGTCTTTACAAACCCTGAACAATTCTCTCCCGAGCGATGGGCGACGGGTGATCCCCAGCTTGAAAGGTCTCTCGTTCCTTTCTCCAAAGGACGGAGAATGTGCCCTGCCCAAAAGTAAGTGAACTCCAATTTCATGCTTCAGGTACCGACCTAACCGCTGATCTACTTAGTATATCATACATGGAAATATCTGCCGCGTTCGCTGCTGTGTTTCGCAGGTTTGAGGTTTCGCTGTACGAGACGACGTAAGCCCTGCACTCCAGTATAATATTCTATGAATGTCCTTGCTAATATTTGAATAAACCCAGCGAGGAGGATATGAAGTACAAGGCGTATGCTTCTATACACTACACTGGCCGACCCCTGAGAGCAACGCTCAAGCCTAGGCTTGATTAAAAGCGTTTGTCAATTCATTCTGTATTTATTCCTTACAGAGCGTCAGAACACCACCGACGGAGGGTAAGCTATCAACGTGTTCCAATTTGACTGATATCACGTGTCGATCATGTTGGATTAATCTGACGGGTACAGTATGCAAGATATGTCCTTGTTACTCGAGTCTGTCTCCCAGAAGTGGTTCGGTCTCCCCGCCGACATCATCTTTAACATCATGGACCTTGCCACTCAACCACAGCATAGGAAATGCTGTTACAAAGGCGAGCAAGCCCAAAGTCCATGCCATAGTCTTCCACCCAAAATGATACTCAACAAATCCACCCCACAGGGGACCAAAAAACAATCCGATGAATTGGGCCATCGTCTGCAAGCTAAATGCCTGTGCTATGGCACCTTTAGGGCCTGTTATTCCTGGCCTTTTACATTCCATGTCGTCCAGGACAGCCTGAGACTCCACGTACAAAGCGGGAAGACCCATGTTTATGAAGAGACCGGTCCAACATAAAAGAACGATCAGGGTAGCAATATGAGGCCAAGAATTATGCCCAACCAAAGACAGGCAGATTAAGGTCGGACAAAGAAGGATGAATCCAGTAAATGCCATAGCCCGTGGACCATAATGGTTACAGAGAGATCCTGTATAGTTAACATTTGCACACCAATTTTTGGCTAACAGACATACCAAAATAAGGACCCATAAGTGATGTAAAAGCGCTTGGAAGGAAAATCAAGCCCGCCCCCACTGGCGACCAGTGGAATGTGGACTCAACAAATATGGGGAGGGTCTGGAAAGGTCAACATAGATTCAACCTTTTTTTTGTTTTTGTTTTTTTGAAAAAGAAACTGTGGAGTTGGAGAGAAACTCACCGCATCAAAAGCAGAAAAGAAAATCCCGATTACCAGAAGAGCCCAAAGGGTGATGAGGATTCGCGGTTGCCGGATAAGGTTGAGCAGAAGGAAACCTCCTTCGTTAGTAGATAAGCACTCATTGGGATTGCTGGTGATGTGTTGTTGATCATTATCGGGTGATTCTGTATTAGCCTTGATCCAACTCTCCATGACCTTTTTCTCGACCAACAGGATGCGGAGGATAAAATCGACACCGACAAGAACAGCAGCCATCACAAAAACTGCTTCATATCCAAAGTTGGTGTATATTAGCCCACCTAGAAACGGGCCTAGTACAAAGCCCAACGCGCTGGCAGAGCCCAAATACCCAACTGCAGTGCCTAATCGATCCTTGTCAAACGAATCCGTGGCTAGGGCAAGCCCAGCGACCGCTACCATTGCCGTAGCACCGCCCTGGAGTAGCCGCGCTATGGTAAAAATAGACAGCGTTTTTGCGAAAGCGAGGAGTAACATTGAAGAGCCAAGTAGGGAGAGTCCAAAAAGATAGGGAAGTTGACGAGTGCCTGAAATATCAACCAAATACCCGAAAATGGGACAGCAGATTACAGACACTGCAGCTTCACACATTAAGAGGACGCTAACCCAGTATTCACCTGTTTCCAATGATTAGCTATTTCCCCTAGATTTTGCTTTGATCTTCAACTAACGGTGTTCGAAGGGAACCCCAGCACGCGTCACCAGCGCTGACGGCATGACAGGCACGATCTAGAGGGTTATGAACTCCTTGCAAAAGCCAAGTCAATTCTGAGGGACCGTCCAACTTACCATAGCATAGAGAAAGAACTCCTGGGTAAGAGTCAGCTATAATTCGGTAGGGATACACGGATTTGCTTACTGTGAACGTTGACATTGAGACTGCGGACATGATGAAGATAGTCGATGACCTCCATGTTAGACCCCATGGAGGGTTCCCCTGTTTTCGGTTGCCGTACATATTGGTGAATTTAAGTCTCACCCTGCTAGTAGCGGAGATTGTGGGTTGGAATTGGATCAGAAGCTTGATGAGTGGCAAAATAGACCAGTTCTTATACGCAAATCAGAATGGGCTGTGGTATTTTTCAGAGAGATTTCAGAGAGATATAACATCGATAAAATGAAAGTTATTTAATACCTGAGTATGAACAGACGATGACTAATTGCAGAGATGCCCCTGGCGCCTCAGGGCCAGTCCTGCAGGCACCTCCAGGGCTGAAGCATCCACGTGACACCACCAGGATGATCTCTCGCTCTGTCTCTTTCTCCTAGTGTTCCGCAAAGCCCATAAATGGGCCCGAACCCCGGGCCCAAAGCCCAACCAGCAGTGGGCTGTGGGCCTGAGCTTCGAAGCCCACTCCAACCCACAGCCTATCAATAGGGGCGGGCCCATATGGCGGTTCGACCGGCATCTTATAATCGCTATACAATATTGTACAAATTTAGTATTGATAATAACAGTAGCTATATAAGTATATATTTTAATTTTAAAGAGAATCCGACGAGTAGAGCTCGAGATCCTATAAAAAAGGTTGCCTTACTCCTTAATATATATTTAGGATCTAGTTCCGAGTACTACTATATTCCAAGTGAACTTCTACAATTTATAAATTATCCAAAGAACGCGCTTTCTCACGTTTTTAAACGTGACAAAGAGAGATAACTAGTAATGAATTCTAGACTATTTAAATTTATTGTGGTGGAGTACTACGTGTGGTAGAAGAAGAAGTTGTTGAATTGTAAAACTAATAATTCAGGGTTTGAATACCCTATATCCATCAAACTCCATCCGAAGATCGCTCAGTCTGCAAGCAAATATGTATGGCTTCATGCCTGTATGTACAACAAAATCAATACAATATTACCTTTAGAATAAGGCCTATAAACGGGGGTAAAACGAAAGGTAATTTAAAAACCCCTACAAGGGGGTTCACCTTCCGAATTATTGGCATATTTGTGCTGTTTTAGGCCATTTGGGGGGGGGATTAGCCCGCAGTGGGCTTCTCCTTAGGCCCATAGCCCAGCCTATTTGCGGGTTGGGGTGGGCTGGGCTATGGGCTTTATGGGCTTTGCGGAGCTCTACTCTCTCCCCGTCCGCCCTCTCGTTTACGGATGCATACATATTCTTCCATCAGATCATTGATTGCATGGCATTCGCCAGACTGATCTTAGTGCTTTTCGTATGGGATCCTGCGGACCTAATGTTCACTTTGGAACGGGGTTTCGGACACATTGTACTGTCTCCCACGGTAAAATACCCAAAGCAGGGTAGGCTGGCCTAGAAAACGGCGATGTGCGGTGTAAAATTGACCTGTGTCCATATGCCGAGACAATATACCTCGCGTGAAAATGGTATGCACACCTGCATGGAGTGGGGTAGCCAACATGTGGGTGTGTACATCTTCGATGGGAACAAGAATTGTCGAGCAAATATATCAACCACTAAACCAAAACAAGGCTATGACAGAATCCTTAGTCTATACAGGCGGACAAACTCCGACAAACTAAATCCGATGAACTCCGAAGTCCCTTAGTGCTCCTGAGGTCGGAAAACTGTGGCTCGGTTTCTCCGAGCCGCCTAAACTCCGATTTTCGCCATCCACGTCACTGTCCCTTTCTCCGAACAACACCCTTGTCGGTTTTTATCCATTTTACAATGCGTACCGGACTTCCAGCTCCGTGTACGAGATAACTTCTACAATACAATGAGTCAAAGCTCTTCAATACACGATGGGCTGGGTCGAACGGAAAGCGCTAGATCCCCTTATCGCCGAAAACGGAAAGTCCTCAGCTGTGAGCATTGCCGATGCTCCAAATTAAAGTGTGATCGTCAACAGCCTTGTGGTGCTTGTACGCGGCGAGGATGCGGGCTGTCGTGCTCGTTCTTGACCACCCCCACTGTCCCGACTACATCCACTAGCGTTCATCGAACAACGTCCAATCCCTCATCGTCAAATGTGCGACCCAGGAAAAGGCCCGCCGCCCCCTCAGCCCCGTTGAAGCAAACTGTTGCTAGTTATTCAAGTAATCGAGCTGAGCGGTTGGGACCTGACGAAATTCAAGATTCCCAAGATAGTCGCTGGGAAGCAGTTCTTCAACGGCCGTGTCCGGAAGATGATCCTGTCGCAGCATTCGACACTTTATCCCCCTTTTCAGTTGGCCCGAGTGTCTCCCTTCGGGACATTATTGATATTTTACCTTCTAGAACCAGCTGCGACTGTCTGGTTTCTCACTTTTTCAATCATATATCTGCTCTATTCCCCATTCTTCATGGCCCAACATTCCAAAAGCAGTATGTTGCCTTTATGCAACAGCCCTATGAAGTTGATCTCTCTTGGCTGGCGTTACTCTTTTCTATGTGCTCTTTGACATTGAATACTATGGAGCCAAGTGATCCTAGACTGGTGGATTTATGGCCAACAGGGCCACATTTCCAGGAGCAAGAGGCCGTGACTTTGTCCCGTCGGCTTCAGCAAACTGCGATGGTTTGTCTTTTACAAGATCAATTTTTCATCCGACATAAACTTAGCACATTCGAGGCTTTGCTCATGGTGATATATAACCTTTCTCACAACGAGTCTGTTGATCAAGGGTGGGCCTTGTTGGGTATGGCCTTAAACATCGGCATAGCCCTACGGTGCAATGTTGACTCCCAGGGACTTAATCATCTTGAGACTGAGAGACGCCGACGGTGCTGGGTTGGCATATTGACGCTACATACTTATCAAGCCATTCTTTTTCGGGATATAGACATGTCATTCCTTCTTGATATAAAAACCACAATGCCCGCAGATGTCAATGATGTCGATATTACCAAAGAGGGGATCTCGCAGCCATCCAGTTCGCCCACGCAGATGTCCGTGATGATGTTCAAAGTCCGGCTTTTCCGGATCTCCACTCAGATCTGTCACCACATATCTGGTCCCTCACGACTTGAGGCAGAGCCGTTGAAGGAATTTGATGCGATAATCGCCGAGGAACAACAGAGATGGGACTCGACATATTTGGTGGATGGTGGCCCCAACATATTAGATTCCAGTTACGCCTATTGGTGCATCTTACAAACCTATGCACATCAACTTTATCTTCTTCTACATCGCCCTTTTCGCCATTCTCAGTCACCATCCTTCCTTGCAACATCCAGAGACAGGTGCATAGCTTCCAGTGTCGCCTTACTAGGCATCCACCGGCAGATCTACGAAGTTCCACTGCTTCGACCCTATTTTTGGTTGCTTAGAGGTGTTACAAGCTTGAAGGCGCTTCATGCTGCTGTGGCACTCAACTCGTGCCTTCTGGATATGCCATCATCTTTTGGGTCGGGCTCGTACCGGGAGGAGTTAAACAAACTCGTGCTTCGAATGGAAAGCCTTTCTCATCGGAGTGCAATATGCCTGAAAGCGCATCGCATACTTCTTCAATTACAGTAGGTTATACTTCATCGTGATGGCAAGTTCAGCTGAATGACCTTTTCCAGAACTCAATTCGGAGCAGCGAACCAGCAACCAGCGGATTCGGGAACTCGGTTCGAGAGCAGAATTGAAGACTGGACCGATATGCGGGAATGGTTTGGGGCGGATCTTTTCAACTGGGTAAGGTATAGAATCTGTGGTTTCTTGACTCCGGACTAATTTTTTCAGAGCTTGGATAGTGTCGGCAATCTTCCCGCGGTTTGATATTTTTACATTGGATATCTCTGGCGATTTGTCAGATGGATGTCAAACATCTTACGCACACTAACTAATCATTGGATGAGCGAAATTCCCAGGAAAGCCCGAAAGGAAATTCTTGGTGAAGTAAATGCAGTTTGTCCGGACTCAAAATCGAAGAGATATCATCATTCCATATCAGAACATTTGCACGGTGTCGTAGGTGAGGTCATTTCCACTGAGGACAGCAAGTATCAGCCTTGTAATATAATAAAGGACTCAGGCCGAGAGGCTGTGGGTCATTATTTTGATAGCAAAAGTCCCTTGGTTTACGAATTAGAAGTCCGATGTTCCAGGTGGAACTTATTCGGCCGAGACTAACTCGGAGTTCAAGTTCATCGGACATAAGTGTGAGAGCCGTTCTCCCGATGTCCGAGGCAATGGAATCCGGAGTTTGCTGATAAATAGTAGGTACCACTGCAATATAGTGGAACAAATGAACTTATCAACAGCTGGGCTACGATCCACAGCCCACATTTCTGCCTTTTGGCTTAAAAAACAAGCACTTAAATCCGATAGCAGGGCCCAATATGATAGTTAAAATTTCAGTGGCTATATAATCATAACTTGCCCGGTTTTTCACTGCCTGTCTTCAAATGTTTCACAATAATGGAATCTCTATTTCAATATAAACGTATCAGACAATCTGTGCGCGACCAACTAGCTGAAACCAAAGAAAAATGCAGTTGTGAAAATTATACACTTGGATCACCACATAGCTCAAGGTAAGTGATAGCTCAACGAATCTTTGCAAAATATACATTTCCAGCGATGCTAATGGCCAATTATCCAGATGTGACTTACACAATGTCTCACCCAAAGAAAAACTCCCCACTGATGCCCTCATCATTGTGGACTGGGATAGTGACAATGATCCCTTGAACCCTGCAAACCAAACCGTGTCGCGGAAGATGTGTATGACCCTTCTGGTCACTTTAATTGCTTTTTCTGTAACCGCCGCGTCCGCGATTGATGCTTGCGGTATCCGACAATACAGTGAATACTTCAATGTATCTGAAGTAGTTGGGTCTCTTGCGACAGGTATGTACAGTTTTTTAATTTATGATGACTATGTTACATAAGTTGACCATGCCAACAGGTCTGTTTCTGGTCGGTTTTGGGGCCGGCTCTCTCCTTTCAGGCCCATTCTCCGAGACGTTTGGCCGGAACACCGTCTACCTAACAACCATGGTCCTTTTTCTGATATTCATAATGGCCGCGGCGCTCGCTCCAAATATCCACAGCCACCTGATCTTCCGTTTTCTTGCGGGTTTCTTTGGCTCTACTCCACTCACCTGCGCTGGAGGTACGGTAGCGGATTTGTGGAGCCCATTACAAAAGACGTATGCTTTTCCAGCCTACGCTATTCCATCATTCGTGGGGCCAATGGCTGGGCAGATAATAGGCAGCTATATTCCTATACATTTGGGATGGCGTTGGCTTGAGTGGATTATGCTTATTATGGGAGGTGCGGTTCTTCTTGTTATTCTTGTGCTCCAGCCAGAAACATACGGACCTCTCATTCTGTATTGGAAAGCAAAGATTCTCCGCGAAGAAACTGGGGACGACAGATACAAAGCGCCAATGGAGATGAAAAACGAAGCTTTGGGCCGGCGACTGCTGGTCTCGGTGTATCGGCCATTTGCGCTGGTTTACTCCGAGTTGATTATCATCCTGATGTCCCTCTACCTTACTGTTATCTATATTGTCCTCTTCACCTTTCTAGAGGGATATACATACATTTTTGGTGATACGTATGGGCTTTCACAGGAGATGACTGGCATACTCTGGGCGGGGATGCTATGTGGCATTCTTCTTGTCGGGTGCCTGGTTCCGGTAGTATACTCTTGGACTGCCAAAGAGTACAAGAAGACTTCTACTATTGCTCCTGAAACACGATTGTGGTATGCAATGTTGGGTGGTGCTCCTGCGGTGCCAATAAGCTTGTTCTGGATGGGTTGGACCAGCTATGTAAGTGCTCATGATTTGTTCGTCATTGTTTCTGTCACTGACTTTCACGCTCTTGGGGTGTTCAGCCGTCCATTTCGATTTGGTCTCCTATCATTGCCTCCGCCTTGTTTGGATACGGAATCACTACTATTTTCATCGTCACATACATGTATATCATAGATTCCTATGGTGTATACTCAGCATCTGCATTGGGGTTCCTTGTTTTTACCAGATATGTTGTGGCAGGCGGCATGACGGTTGCTGGTGGGCCTATTTACCGTTCTATCGGTGTTCATTACACCCTGACTATCTTGGGGGGCATCAGTACAGTTATGGCCGCGATTCCATACTTGCTTTATGTGTACGGGCCGACACTTCGCAAATACAGCAAATTTGCTGTCAACGTTGGTGCAGATTAATGCTCGAAACTCAGCAGATCTCACGTGAAGAACTCTGCCAGAGGCTTAAATTTATGATTTCGGCAAAAACTAGATCGGAGTCATTGGAGAACCTAATAAAATAAGAAACAGTCTATGCAAACAAAACGACGCCCGATGTTATGTAGTACTTTTGTATAGATTCAGCACGAGATTAAGTCTACATGGAGAGGATTTGTACAACAGACATCTTCAATGACAGCAAAGCTTGTCGAGATAACATATTAGTAGACCAGAAAGGGTGGTTATTTTGTCGTCTTCAGCTAGGGTTCACGGCTGCCCACCTGGACATCAAGCAAGGCTTACGTAATTACCCCATGATCAATCTTACTCAGAGACCGAAAAGCGGCAAGAGGCAAGCACTAAAATGGAAAGGGAAAGGCTTCGAGCCGGACATTATCCGGTCATATTATCCACACCATTGTTTTTTGTCGATGCGGGGGACTGCTAGCCTTCTCCATACACCACATTCTTTCACCAAATACTATCAATGGGGTAAACTGGGCACTATCTGACTCAACCTTTTCGAGAGATATCTTGAACCCCCAATTGCACCCAAAAGAAACCGCCGTCATGATCCATTCAGCGCCCGCATCCGACCCCGCAGCCTCCGCGAAGCCCAAAGTGAAGAACATTACCAACCCGCGCCGCCTCTTAATCCTTACACCAACCACCCAATCCCTCACAATAATCCCCCCACTCCTGCACTCCCTAACTGGTGTCCCCGTCGTCGACCCGCCACAACAGCCAGCCCCTTCACCATCCTCTAGCTCAACACCCGCACCACCAACAAGCACCTTCGCCGGCTACACAACCCACAGCCCTCTCCGTCTCGAAACAAAATACTACACAACCGAAGTTCCCGTATGGGTCGACGAGATCCCACTCGCCATCCGTGACTCAGACACACAAAGCTCTCCCACACCAGCACCGACAGCCGAGCAATGGAAAACAGAATTTCTTAGCACAGAAGCCGAGATCGTGCGCGAGGCTGTTGGGGCTCTGGTTGTGTGCGCGCATACTCCTAGCGATGTGACAGCTCTGCCAGGATCCAATGCAAACGCAGACCCCGCGGAGCGGCCCGATGTGCGCGCACTGCGTGACCTTATGCGCGGTATTGGCGCTGTCAAGGAGCGCATTGACGAGGAGCGTGGCGGGCTCGGCGATGTTCCTGGTGTGTTTGTGTTAATTGGAAGTCGGAAGGGTTCTGCGGGTGCGGCTGCGGGTCAGCAGGGACCCAAGGATCCCGATGCGGAGCTGGGGCTTGGTGTTGATGATGAGGATCTGGGTGGCGGGGAAACAGTGCCATTTTCCGTTGGATGGTGGGAGGATCAATTTTTCGATATGGGGTTGTTGGGGTGGGAGGTTGTTGAGTGGGATCCCAAGGAGAGTTTGGAGGTTGAGACAAGGAATCAGTATGGGGGTGAGTTTAGTGAAACAGCCTTTTGTTTATTAGGTTATGTGGCAAGATTAGGATTTTGGCTAACTTTATGCTATTACTAGAACGGGAGGGTATGCCTCGTATCAAAGAGGTCCTCGAGACTCATGACTGGTCTATGGTTGGAGGTGATTCTGGCTTTGATGGAGATAATGACCCTGACGTGGATTCCGATGATGACCTTCAAGACCAACTATTAGGTCTGGGTGGCTCTCGTGGCTTCGGTGATGAAGTCCATGAATTAGAGCGTGAAATGTTCGGTTTGCGTATGGCAATTGAGCGTGGAGGTGGTGATGGTGATGAGAGGGATGACTCCGACCATGATGATGGCGAGGATGAGATTGATGTCGAGAGCATGGAGGTACTGATGATGCGTATGCAGGCAATCAAAGGTATGATTCTGTGTTGTGTTAATTACTCGGGCTCGCTATAGTTGATATTGCGGTGTACTAACTTGGCTATTAGATATGAGCTCCGAGCTGCCGGAGGGTGAACGGAAACGATTTGCTGCGAAGGCCGTGCAGGACATCATGCGCGAGCTCTGAGCTTACTGGTTATTCTACATAAATTCTAACGTAGACATTTGAATAATCATCTTCCATTGCAATATATTATATAGACAAATGAAATCCATAATCATCTAGCTACACATAGAACTGTGCTCGGTTCAGTTTACGCTTGTTAGCCTCCACAACATATAAAACAACATATAAAGACATATCCAAAAATAAAATTAAAATAAAAAATTGCTGAAAAACGCATCGGACTGTTTTAACATACTTTGTAGCCACAAACCGAGCCACACCGCCCTAAAGTGCCGAGACCGATTCCATCCTCGTGCGCTCCTCTGACGTCATGATCTTCCAAGGTTCCAACCTTGGAAAGCAGCCAACTTCACAAAATGAGCTGTGTTTTGTGCATGGATCATCCTGGCTAGCTTATTGCTTGGGCAATTCTTGGCTTCCTACATCATCTTCCCCATTCCCCATACGTGTACTCCGTACTTGAAACGCCGCTTCGTCATGCCTTGAGTCTCCTACGCGAACTCCTACGCGAATTCAACCTTATTCAATTCCCACGGTCTACAAAATATTCTCTCTCATTTTACATGCGACGTGAATATACAAAATAAGCAATTGAACGGGAAACAAGCATCTTCCCTTCTCAAAATGCATTTCCCCGCACGGAATTGCGTCCCTATCGTGTCCGCAGCGACGGGGAGGATATCGCAACGCGGTGTCCCGTATGCCTCGCTAGGGAAGATTGCCTCGGCAGAGCTAAATAGCTGGACTGGGAATGGCTCTGCCATTGCATCTAGACATATCCATTCATTCTCGGGGCGGTGTTTCGGCGGAGGTATTGGTCTCAGAGCTCATAGTGCGTCACCGGTAATGAAACCGGGATTTGCTGCGCCGGTTGCGATTCCACGAGATCATCTTGCATGGATTCAGACAAGGAATTTTAGCAGTGCAGATCATACACAAGTCTCAGGCGATAATCCGAAGACAGAGGAGCTTTTGGAGAAGTTCGAAGTTCAAGAGGGCAACCAAGAAGCTCGGCCTCAGCGGACAGTTCTTAGTGAAAATGGTGAAAATGGAAAGTCTCCAACTGAAGGAGCGAAGTGGCCTGAAAGGATGACCAAAGGTGAGAAGGTGCTGCTATGGTTGCTTCAAGTATCAATGCTCACGTTTAGGGATAGGTAAAATGTTGACGACGCCATCGCGGCTCTTCAAATTGATCATCCCTTTAACGACCATCGGAAACGAAGGCCATGATAAAGGTATGTCAATCCTCAAAATTTTCTCCGGACGTCACTTGGCCATCATGCTAACAACTCGAACAGAAATTGAGCCCATAGCTATCCTAGTCCACCCCCAACAACCACTATCATACCTAGAGCGCCTGATCCAGTCAGAACTACCCCCAATTAAAGGCAACACCGACAAGCTCCGCCCACCAGCCATATCCTTCATCGCACTCCAGCACGATGACAACGCAATCAAGCCCAAGAAGCGAATCGAAGATGAGATCGACCTAGACGCAAACCAAGCTAAAGAAAAGGAGTTCATCCCCGGGAACGACGGCATTGGTGGCAGCAAACCGCTCAACGGCAGATCACCAACCCAGCACCGCCGGTCCCGACAAGAGGACGTCGAAACCTACAGCTATCCACGAAAAACGAACGACACCCCGCCCCAAAACGGCGAACCCGAGCGCTTCGTACGCTGGTCACAAGCCACAGAGATAGGCGACTTTATCCGGGATGCTGCGCGTGCAGGCGAGTTTATTGTGACGATCGAAGGCGCACCGTCCGGTCTAAGCCAAATTCGCGTCACGGTGCCGTCGTTCAACGAGCGCACGTATTACCTCCGCATGCGGCTGCGCAAGCTCTCGCGGCGCATCCAAACTATGGCGGATGTGAAGGAAGAGTGTGATGCGCTAGCGCATCGAGGTGCGCAACGGGTTGCGATTGGCGGGTTTGGGATTCTTGCCATTTGGTGGTTTACGGTTTACAGGTTGACGTTCGAGACTGATCTCGGGTGGGATACTATGGAACCTGTGACTTACTTGGTCAGTTTGTCTACACTTATGGGGGGTTATTTGTGGTTTTTGTACCACAACAGGGAGATTTCTTACAAGTCTGCACTGGATTTTACAATCAGTGCTAGGCAGAAGAAGCTCTATCAGTTACACAAGGTTGATTTACAGCTTTGGGAATCCTTGATTGATGAGGGGAACTCGCTTCGTGGGGAGATTAAGAATATCGCGGCTGAGTATGATGCTGAGTGGAATGAGCGAGCTGATGAGCAGGATAAGCGTGTGACAGAAGTCTTGAAGTCAGATCGCCGGCAGAAGCAGGACAAGAAGAAGGATTCGGATGATAAGAATGATGAGGATGATGATTGATTTCGATCTACTTGTCATTCTCCCTACGTGTATGTACTTTGCATTCCATGTCATCCGATGGTCTTCCAGTCTCATACCTCAATTATACAAAATAGACATTAAATAGCGAAGAGAAAAAGAAAATTGTGCCCAAGAAACACCTTCAACCCCAAAATATCACAGTGTCCCATTTCGCACAGGATCATAGTACTTCTTCGGCTGCGTCGTCTCCTCCTGTCTTGTACGTTTATCTATAAACATCCATTAGCATATCCACCAATAAAGCATACACCAGCCAACCAGCCTCAAGAAAAAAAAAGAATAATACATACCAGACTCCGAACCTGTAGAACAACCGGTCTCCCCCTTCCTCCTATTCCGATTATTCCTCACATCCCGCGACCGAAAGACGCTATACAACAACCAGCCGGCGACCCAGTTTGGGCCATATTCGCCATTCGTCACCCCACGCTCGAACAATCCGCGTACGAGCGGCGGCGCATTGTGACAGATCTCGAGGATCGCCCAGCGCTGGCAGTCCGGACGGATGTGGTGCCAGAAAAAGGGGGGGCGGGTTGCTGGGTCGGCACGCACGTTGTCGAGGAGGTTGGCGGTGTCGAGGTTCATACGGTTGTAGACAATGATGGCTTCGTCCTGG